AAAAGGGGGGGTTTAACCCCCCCCCCCCCCCCCCCCCCCCTGTGTACGCGCCTGGTGTAGATTCTCTCTTGCTACAAAGTAAGAAGGTAAAAGAGAAGGGAAAGAGACACGAAACTGAAGACGATATATTCCTTCATTCGGTGATATTATTGGTTTGCAATGACAACGGGGCCACCTTCCATATGATGCGAGTATGCCACGCTCTTCCGCTGATCCAACACGAAACGCCGATTAGTCAGTATTTTTGCTGTATACATCCATGATAAGATGAATGCTTTCTCTCTTTGTAAGTTTACACAACATAAAGTGATTTACTTCATGTGTTCGTAGGAGATATTGCTATATTATAAACAGGTCCTTGTAAATACTGTAAATGTGTTATCAGTTAAAGTCTACGTCAAGACATTTAAACATTTCGAATCATGTAACCCTGTAAAATTGTGATGGTCACTTTCACTTTCCTATTCAATAAAATAAGAGTGTAATTAAAACATAAACTAATTCAATCCTCCCGATCTAATTTCTCGGGCCTTTCACTCAGGTCCAGGATTTACAAGAGCCATGTTTTCTTTCACTATTCTTGATTGATCACGTCAGCCCAAATGCTTGTCAGAGGCTTGCTGACCTATGATTATGAATAAAGGCGAGGATTTTATCTTCAGAAATACGGCAGAACTGATACATAACGGGCGGCGAATTTTTTTCCGTACTCGAGAGGGCAAATACCCCATGTGCGCATGCGCGTGGACTTGTGATTTCTCTGCTACTTCCCATACGAAATGTACATGTATTCGCATCTACTGTGCACGATTCGCGTTCTACGAGTAAACGATGGCATAGTAGTCTTCAAACACAGACTCTGATTTGCCAGTTTGACAAAACAATTACGCATATATCGTGCGTAGCAATAGTACTAGTATTCAAGTCTGAGTAGTTGTATGATTCAGACATTTTAGTGCTTACAGAAATGCATCCCAAATTGAATAGCATGGTATAGTAGTCTGCAAGCACAGACGCTAATCGGACAGTTTGACAACATAGTGTCTTGAGTAGTGCTTTATATTCAAATATGTGTAGTTTTATGATTCAGACCCTACTGGTGCGTGTATTGGAAAGGCATCTCAACTTGCAGAGTGGCATAGTAGTCTGCAAGCACAGACGCTAATCTGACAGTTTGACAAAATAGTGTTATTCAAGTCTGAGTAGTTTTATGATTCAGACCCTACTGGTGCGTGTATTGGAAATGCACCTCAACTTATAGAGTGGCATAGTAGTATGCAAGCACAGACTCTCCTTTGACAGTTTGACAGAATAATATAGGCCTATTGTGTATTGAGTAGTGCTTTTATTCAAGTTTTCGTAGTTTTCTGTGTTGTGCCACTGCTCTCTCACTCTCTCTCTCTCTCTTTCTCTCTTTCTCTCTCTCTAGCTCTCCCTCCAGTATGCTCGCACTCTCTGTATTACTTTTATTTATAATCATGGTCTGCTGAGAGCCAGAAGGATGTTAACTCTTAACACAACGAATGCCCTTCTGGCTCTGAAGAGAGAGAGAGAAAGAGAGAGAGATATGGAGAGAGAGAGAGAGAGAGAGAGAGAGAAAGAGTGTGAGAGAGCAGTGGCACAATACATAGGCCTACCATGGGGTCTGGAATCATTAAACTACACAAACTTGCATAAAATCACTACTCATCAATACACAATATATTATTATGTCCTTGCAGACTACTATACTACACTCTACACATTGAGATGCATTTCTAACGCACGCACCAGTAGGGTCTGAATCATACATCTACGCAGACTTGAATAAAGTACTTCTCAGCACACTACTAGTATGTTGTCAAACTGTCAGATTAGCGTCTGTGCTTGCAGACTACTATACCATTCTATACAAGTTGGCGACTTGAATAAAGTACTTCTCAGCACACTACTAGTATGTTGTCAAACTGTCAGATTAGCGTCTGTGCTTGCAGACTACTATACCATTCTATACAAGTTGCAATGTATTTCCATATGCACTACTGGGTCTGAATCATACAACTACACAGACTTGAATAAGCACATCGCGACACATACGCATATTGATTTGTCAAACTGGCAAATCAGAGTCTGTGTTTGAAGACTACTATGCCATCGTTTACTCGTAGAACGCGTATCGTGCACAGTACATGCGAATACATGTACATTTCGTATTAGAAATCATAAGTCCACGCGCATGCGCACATGGGATTTTTGCTCTCTCGAGTACGGAAAAAAAATTCGCTAACGGGCGAAATGAATAGTTTTCTGTGGGGATGGTGATAGCACACAAAAAACCACTCGAAAAGTACTTTCCGTGCATGAGACTGAACACAACTGCTTCGTAACTAAAGTGTTGTTGTATTATTAAAATTAAGACCAAAGCTTAAATCCATTGTTAAATTTCATTCTTGAAAGGTCCCTTTTAACTTGTACATGCAATATTTTTGTTATTTTGTGTGAGCGGGTGTTTGATATTCAAGAAATATATACTTTTTATAACTTTATGTTTATGGTTAACTTTTGTATTGATTGAAAACATACTTATCAAATAATTATTATCAGAATACCTCAAAACTACCATATTTCATGTTTTTCATTTTATTGCATAGTATACCTTTCATTTTATAAATATTTTATCCATTGCTCATTAATTAAAAATTACAATTTACTTGTTATTGATAGATCTACAACCAGTATTCTCTCAAATGTCAAAAGATGTACTGCCGCTTTACCTCATTTTCGATATGTCCGTTATGCACTCTCATCGACAGCTTGGTCTTATATCTCTCTTCCGCCATCTCTCCCTGTCCTTTCCTCTCCCTCGGTCTTTTTCTCTCTCACTCTTTTCCTGGATCTCCTGTGCTGTCTGTGTTTACCCTCCCTACCTCTCTTCTTTACTTCCCCCAGCCCTTTAATTTTGTTCTCTCATCTCTCTTATTTCAAACGATCTTATATATATAAATATATACATATATGTATATGATTGTGGAATAGATTTATGCAATTGTCACCTGTTTAGCGTACTTTATTGATTGATACGTCGGTGTATAACTGATTCATTTATAACATTTGATCACTGTTTGTTATCTCTTGATACGATTTGCTGGATAAGTTTACCGTAGCTGATTATGTTAATACAATCGTTTATGTTTTACGCAATGTACACAATTCTGCAATTCAGCCATCTGGCTGCAAATGAATTTTCAATAAAAAAATTACCATACCATTACCACATACACTGTACGTACATATAACTACAGGTTCATGTGTTGCAATGATTGCAAAGAAACTAATGCAGCCGGGTAAGGAATAAGGAGGGTGGTAGAAAAGGGGGTTTAAAGGGAAAAGTGAAGTAACATGAAACTAAACAAGAGAGATAAATTCAATTGAAATTTCTGATACATTTAATATTTCTTTTAAAAATTATATATATTTCAGTTTATATCAATGGTACAATTATCAAAAAGTATCCTTCTTAGTTTAGAACACAATCCTTCACAAAAATTCATATAAAATGATAGATACAATTATAAGAGATATATGACAATATATATGGCACAGATATATAATTTCTCTAATTTTAAACCCGTCATTTAGAAGATAAAGTTACTAAATCTTAAGATCTTCCATATACAATCAAACCTGTTTATATAGCGACCGCCCAAGGGAAACACAAAAAGTGGTCTTTGTAGACAGGTTCCTTTAGTAAATGTTTCAATGAGAAACAATTTTTAAGGGAAACAAAAAATGTGGTCTCAGTAGACAGGTGGTCACTAAAGCAGGTTTGACTGTATTTCATTTCAATAAAAAGGTGGAAATGCTTCCAAGCAAGATTATATTTTTCAATATTCCTGTTGTTTCATACAGTTGTGATGGTCCTTATTCTTGGTAGAGGAGTAACATGGAACAATATATTAATTCAATTTTGCTTATAATAATAATAATATTTATAGGCATTTCTATAGCACAGTCTATCTAGAAATTCCTTTCAGAGGCGCATTAATTATCACCCCGGCTTTAGCCTAGCTGCCATTAAAGCGCTCTAGCATTTCAAGGAATTAATTCCTGCCAGGTACCCATTTACCTCACCTGGGTCGAGTGTGGCACATGAAGATTAATGCTTACCATGAAATAAACACCATTGACATTAAAAGCGACCCTAATAAAGGATTTTAAAACTGACAATTTCATCTCATAAGTGAAATTGAGAGTTTGAGCACATTCTCATTTATACGTTTTAAATCTTATTTAGATTATTTTAAGTCAAAAGAGAAATATTACAGTATCCATTTCATTAGTAGCACATGTAATAACAGGAAAATTATTTTCACCCAAAAGCATCTCAGAAAAATGAAATAGATTATTGCTGAAAATATGAAAGACATAACACAATTACAGATGCAAATTAAAACACGAATGAATCAGATTGATACAAAAATGAAATAAAACAGAGATTCCCAATTACACAGTAACTAAAGCTAGATCTTCCATTGAGTGATTATGTAGTCTAATGAATATCTACTGTGGTCAAAATTGTGCTGGAGAATGAAAATGCTCATTATATTGCTCACAAAGATCAGATTTGTCCTACTGAACATAGATATTAATTTTACATGTCAATACGTGACCAATTACAATTGTTGAGAGAATTGAATTTGTCTTACATAAAAAATTTGAACATGAATAAATCCCCAGTTGTGATGCCACCTCGAATTCAAAGGTATACCACATGATTGTTTGCAGACTTGGAAACAAACCCCCTATTTGACATACTTTCAAGAACACTTCCCACAAAGTATGGTCTATTTTTGCAGGAACAAAATGGGCTTAAAATACAAACCCTATTTTGGGCATATCCCAAATACATTTTTTTTTAAATACCAAATTTCACAAAAACCAGGTGCATACCCATTTATATTTTGAAGAAAAAAAAAAGGAATGAACATATGACACTTTTGTGAATTTTCTTGCTCTTATTACTTTTTTAAAATGTATATACTACAACCATGAGTTTGATTTCACACAGAATAAAAAGGTTCACAAAATATATACATATTTATATATTGTGCAAGATACTTGTTATACTATACTGATTATGAACAATTGCATAGTTTCATTAGTTTTAATACATTACAGTATCATTTGATGATCTCATTCACAATGCCGCTTGTTCTCTGATGAGTTCCCATAAAAATGGCGAGCTGGTATCTGTAGTACTGTACACAGATTGCTCTTGGAGGGAGTAACCTCTGAACTTGTTTACAATCTTGATTGTGTCATTGATGATCTTCCTAGTATCTTTTGTACAAGTTGAGTCGCTTGTTTTGCACATCCCCAGTGGAGCGTTACGCCATTGCCCTCGTGGCCATAGTTATGAACAACCTGTTAGAATGGACATAGCAATAGAAAACAGATATTTCAAATACCACAATTGGTGTAAATGTTTCCATCTCCTAATACTGTGCCTCATACAGAGAAACCATTACCAACTACATACACTGTCCTCCTACTTAATTCTTTATAATTCCAAACTGAAATAGAAACGATGGACTTGCATGATGAATGTAGTAGATTCCTATATATTAGTTATGCATGTACTTTAAAAGCATGTTTCAAAATGACCATGCTTCTCTGTCCATTTCTCACATAATGAGTGTTTAAGGACAAGAAGGATTTTAATGGATAAAGAACAGCCTAACAGCAAAATGAACGACGTAACATCATTCATTTTTGGAACTAATGGGCCCCTAACTAATAACAGATCTGTTGAGAACCAAAGAGGCATTAACTCAAGCGATAGGTCATCTACTGGGAGCTAGGATAACACATGTAACAGTGCCCTTCTGGCTCTTGCAGACAATATAGATAACATCCTTAAAGCGATTCATTTCACACCAATAAGCTTTGTTGTTACCCATTTTAAACTAACAATAGATCAACGGAAACCAACAATAGATTAACGGAAATCAACTGACTGGATTGAAGTTCACACAGAGGTTAATCCTATACCCAGTTTAAACCTCCAAACGCATGGTGGCTTCTAGTCTATTGAGCTAGCAGTACAACAACACTGTGGAAGCTGCTTGCAAGTGTCGGCTTGCATGGTGATGTAGATATACAGTAGGCTTGCAGGTGCACCATGTGAGAGAGAGAGAGGATTGAGGAGTCCTCTCCTGATGACGAATAGTCAACCTGTTCGAAACGTTGAGCCACTCCCGCCACTCATTCTCTCCAAGCGCTATAGTTCTCCTTAGAACTATAAGCTAAGAAAGATAACCAACAGTCTTTTTCAAGACTACACAAACAGTCCTTTTCAAGACTACACACCCCAAAGAAAGATTACTGAGAGTTCTTTTCATGGCCCCTCAACCCTCCCTCTCTCTCTCACATGGTGCACCCGCAAGCCTACTGTATATCTACATCACCATGCAAGCCGACACTTACAAGCAGCTTCCACAGTGTTGTTGTACTGCTAGCTCAATAGACTAGAAGCCACCATGCGTTTGGAGGTTTAAACTGGGTACAGGATTAACCTCTGTGTGAACTTCAATCCAGTCAGTTGATTTCCGTTAATCTATTGTTGGTTTCCGTTGATCTATTGTATAACACTGTGGAAGTAATGTAAAGATCTTTTGTCAATAATCACTAACCTCTAGATTGATTGCGCCAAAGTTCATAGATTCAGCCTCTAGTCTAATACCTTCTGAGCGAGTTGGTCTTAGTCCAACAAGATGTTTCACCACCTCACTTCCCTTAAAAACAAAAATGAGATCCAGACTTTTAGCATTCTTTCAACCACTCTGTATCTATGGAAAAAAATAGTCATTACAGTATATATATATCTTCCACAGTGGCAAATCCAAGCTTCTCTCATTAGGGTTGGGGGAACAAAGATTACTCACATTTGTCATATGTGTATTTAGGAGGCACATTTTTTTAAATTTTACTATTATTGTTTGTTTATTTGTTAATTAATTAGTTTATTTATTTATTTATTTACTTATCAATTATTACTTTTATTATCAATATCACAATTTCAATTTTTTTCTTTATTAATTCATGTTTTACTATAATTCTTCTTCTTCTTTTTTTTTTCATTTTAAATTTTTAAATTTTATTTATTTATTTATTTATTTATTTATTTATTTATCTATCTATTTATTTATAAGGTATGCCGACTTGGGTTTTGTTCAAAGGGGGAGGGGGGCGTGTCTCTCACAGCTTACCTAGATTTGGGTAATATTTTAATTATGAATAACATTTCATGCTTGCTGTCTACAATATCCAATATGCATACATAAATACAAAATAATCTATTTTCTTTGAAGGAATTTCAAAATCACCAATTTATACACAATAAGACACTTTAAATGATTACTAATATCCTTTTGTGCGACAAGATAAAACTAATCATATCACATGTAAAAAACAAAAACCATCATACATCATTTAAAAAGTTGATAACCTTTACAGTGCTGTATTTACCTTAAGATTTGGAAGGACTTTTGAGGTTATATCCAAGATATATTTAGCATCTTCTGGGTCTGGTGTTGTATCCCATCTTCCTTTTTGTATTGTCCCTCCTAAGATCACCTGACCATTCCTGTTAAAAAAAAAATCATTCATCAAAATATTAAATGAAAAGGATTTACCTTACAAAAGAATGACTTTTGCCATCACTAGTGATCTGCTGTATGACAAACAATGCCAAATTACCAAATAAAAGTTTCTCTCAATTCTAAATCATGAAGAGTTTTGATTTCTATTACAAAGACAGAAAAGTAATTTTATTTATGCATTTGTTCATGTATGTAAAATGACATAAACTATCTTTTAAATAACTTATACTACATAGTGCATTATCTATTATATAAAATATATTGGATTCTTGCACTACAAATGTCCCTATTTTCACTTTAAAATAGTAATTTGGAAATGTATAATATAATGTTATCAAATTATACGATATTATACAAATATATAATTTGAAGGCTGGCCAAATTTTGCCACAAGAAGTTGCTTGCTTTCAGTACCTTGGAAACACATAGAATGATCTATCACCCCATCCTTTCATCCCAGACTTGAGTGTGTACAGAACAAAGAAATGTTGCATTGGAGCTCGAACCTGAAAATAGAAATATGTCTATGTGAGCTTGACATCTAGCAACTAGTAGAAAGAGAAGAGAGAGAGAGAGAGAGAGAGAGAGAGAGAGAGAGAGAGAGAGAGAGCGCGAGAGAGAAAAAGAGAGAGAGATGAGAGATGGAAAAAAAAATAATAAAGTTAAAGATGTAGTCAGATATCTAAAGATAGTAAGTGAGGTATTAAGAGGACGGAGTGGTGATCAGGGGGAGATAAATAGATTGGCAGAGAGAGAGAGAGAGAGAGAGGGGGGGGGGAGAATGGGAGAATGAGAGAAAGAGAGAGAGAGAGAGGGGGGGGGGGGGGAGAATGGGAGAATGAGAGAAAGAGAGAGAGAGAGAGAGAGAGAGAGGGAGAGGGAGATAGAGAAAGAGATGGAGAGGGAGAGAAAAATAAATAAATAAATAAATAAACAGAGAGGAACGAGAGGAGAGGGTATTAAGAGAATATAAAAAGATAAGAGGGAGTGGAGTTAATTAGCTCCGGAATATCTCAAGGTATAAAAGTAATAACACACATAACAATTATTCGAGATTGATTGCAAGAACATTTTTAGGTAGTTTCACTACACAGTCACCTGCTGAGAACCTAACAGGCATATACTCAGTTGCGGATCCAAGGGGGGGGGGGGTGTGATTTTTCAAATTTTTGGCTGTTTCGCCACAAAATATTTTCTCACAAATTGGGCCCCCTCCCCCTGCCGCTGGCTGGATCCGCCCCTGCATATACTTAATGCCCTTCTGGCTCTAATAAGCAGAAGATACATACTCTTGTTAAAGAAATCAGATCTTTGGTCAGGAAAAAATGGAAAACATAAGGTTCACATATATCGTTACTGTTTTCACGAAGTGACGGTAGTGAAAAAAAATTGCATTCACTTTGCGTTACGATTTTCCTCACTACCGTCACTTCGTGAAAACAAGGTACTCACACCAATTTTGCAAAGCAAGCAAATATACCGGTAGGCGTTTTACTGCATCTTACGTTCCTTTAAGTTTATATTCCAATCATTCCATTTGTAAGTAATACAAAAAAAAGCTTCCTCCTTATGGTACACACCCCCAAATAAATCATTGTACTAATGCAGGATATCGTTTAAAATAAATGCATATATCAAATATCATAAATACCAACTTTGAACTGATATTACAGGGTATTATCATAATGGGCAAACACTGCAGATGAGTATTTGACTTGATGGTGACCACTAAAGATGTATCATATAATATTTCACCAGGTAGGGAGAAGTTATAACATAGAGTATATAGAGTGTTGTGATGTTCTTGCTGATTTACAGATGATGTGCAGTTATTCAAAAACAAATCAAGATGAATGCCACTGCATCTATACTCTCTAATATGTATCTGTCTGTATGTTTATCGCTTCAATACTTCAAGTTACTGTGGTAACAAGATATTTGCTGGTAGTGTTTAACACTTTTTGACACTTTTTTTTACCAAATAAAAGGCATTTTGTAGATCAGCAAAGAGTACGAAGGCTGACCATGTGTATTGACCCTGGTCCATGACATTTAACCAGTAAACAAAAGGAAAACTGAAATACAAAATTGATCTTTTGAGACTTTTCATGTACTATCCCATCCAGCTCTAATTCCTTTGATCTTGAATGCCTTTAACACCATTCTACCTCAATACACAAAGATTTATTTACTCACTCGAATAATTTGACCTCTTGCTGGTTCCACTGTGTCATCTTGCACCAGAAACTTGGCTCCTAATCCGGAGCAGTTCACTACAACATCATACACGCCTGCAAACTGATAGAATGTAACATGGATTTGTTATGAACATTCAATTAGACTCTACTCAACTCAATGCTTATGAACTATAAAAATCAAGGAATATGATATAAAAGAGAATATTTCCGTATTCTGTCAGAATAGTGTCTTGTTTACATAATGTGATAACAACACCTTAAAGATGATGAACTGCAAAATAAGCCACATGTAAATGAGTGGGAAATCGGTGAAATAGAGAGGTATTGGCAACACCCTTTCCTAGGCATATTTCCTTGTTTGAATATAACAAAATACAGTAATGTGAAGCAACTTATGCTAATCTATTTTGCTGCAGTTCTCTTTTTCCTTCATTTTTCTTTATTGGCAGTTTACTCTGCCATCTATACAGGGCTTTCAAAACATTTGTACGCAAGCAATTTTAGGTGCCAGTCCCCGAATATAAAGTACATGTGTGATTTGTGTTTGACTATAGGACTGTAACAAATACAGTGTAATGCTGCTGACCTTGTCCAGGGACCCGTTTCACAAAGCCTTTTTTCAATGACAAATGACAAAATTCAGTGACAAATCTGTTGATAACCAATCAGAAGCAAGGATTTCAGTAGCTTATAACAAAAACTATCTTTTGTCACTGATGACAAGTTTTGTGAAACGCCCCCCCAGGACTAATCAAAACAAAAAACACTATTTTTATCATGATATTAACATTCGTAGTGGAGATATTTTAATAAATCCTAGGAGCTATTTTACCTAAACCATTTGCAACCTGTAATATAGAATGTAATTTCTTGTTTGTATTTATATATTTATTTACATTCAAATGTCTGAAAACAAATGTTATGTATTTTTTACATGACAATAAATCTTGAATTGATGTTATTTTCATAAACGGTAACTGTTATCCAGCAACGAGATATACCTGTATGTACATCACTAGAAAATATCAATGCCACTACTCAAGATAAAAGAAAATAGCAACTTAGACAATCAAATGAACAATCATTAAACATACTGATAAGAGGATTAAATGTGCACTACTGACCTCCCCTAAACTGCCAACCTTCCTCTGTACAACTTTGCCACCCTTTTGTAGAAAGCTGCATTCATTAAAAAAAAAAAAACGATAATAGAAGATTGAAGTGTGAAAGAAGTTGCTACTTTTGACTTATAAATGAGTGCTTCATAAGAACTTCTATGAAATATCATGAAGGGAATGTCGAGGTCTGCATCCCTATTGTAGAGGATGCTTTAATAGTAGCCATAGATGAATCAAATGGATTAATTAACTCTGGTTTCTAAGGGCTTCTAGCAGATGAGGGACCCCAATTTATTAGTATTATTATCATTATTAAGGCATTTATGCCTGTGACGGGGTTGCTGAATTTAACCATATGAATGGAAATAAATACAAAAGGGTCATTAGTACAACACAGAACATACAAAGTTACAATCTCATTGAATTAAAGGAATGTAACAATATTGGTAACCGCAATAAAAATGTGCTACACACTGGAAGATTTCACTGAATTTTGATAGTTTAATGACAATTAAGTCTAGATGCAGGGACTATTATAGAGATAATTGGTCTTTCTAATGTGATTGATATGTAGAGATGGAAAGAGGTGAATTACCGTTTCATAAGATATGGCAGGTAGATTAGACAATTGGTGATAATAGTCATGTAGGAATAGCCATCACTGTGAGAGGTTTGTAAAAAGAAAAAATGTGGTTAGATCATAATTATCATGTCAGAGAGATTTATACATTTCTTGAGCTTGCGTTCAAGTTCATTTATTCAAAACCACACAAAACATTATATAATCTTTTACATAAAAAAAGACTGGTAATAGTACATTAATCAACATTATATTAACTTTATACATCATTAAATGAATGGTTTTAGGACCCCTGTAGAGTAGACAACAGTCTCTTTAGTGCTGTTATGTAAGTAATACTTTATGAGACAGCCCTATATTTCATAACACAGTACAATAACAACACAATGTCAAACAATTTTCGAATTTGGACTATTTACTATAATATAACCCTCTCTGGTCCAACGATCCAAAACTGTTGAGCATAAATATAGACACAGAAAAGCCATCTTCCCATTTACTGGATGACTGGTACAATCTAAATAAGTTCTGTATGGTACATAAGTCATCTCGTTTGGAAACATAATAAAGATGACATCCAACGAAAGCTACCAGAATTACTGATATGAAATGATTCATGGAGTCTAAGAATGCTGAGCTAAATAACATTCATCTATTACATACATACATAACTTGTCTTAGCTGAAAAGTATAGCATGTAAGTGACAACATAAACAAGAACTTACTGAAATGTTGGCGCAAAGAGTTGTTTTATTTCTTTTTGAGGAACTCTTCTGTATCCTATGACATCATCTTTCCACCATGGGTCCTCCTTTAAGACATGTCAAAATCATATATATGAATATTAGACTCAGACGTTATGGAAATTCATGGAAATTATAAATTTAGGGTTGTAATTGAAATATTCATAAAATAAGAAATAAGTTTGTTAAATCCTTTTCTAAGACATAACATACAAAAATCTGACTAACTTACTTCTTCCTTAATTTTCTCAGGATACAAGCGGTAGCCTGGAAGGAACTCTATTCCAAATTTGGTAGCTTCTGGACTCAAAGCTAAAGGAATACTATGATTCCAGGTGTCTCTGCTCCATTTCCTACAAAATAGTAAAAGCAAGTCAAATTTCATATTTGGGACGAGATTGTTTTGTAATCACATGATCATCAATGAGGGTTGTGACAAAACCGAACCAATATCAGATAATAATTTTCTCTAGATATACAAGGTTTAACATTTGACCGCTCCACTGACCATCAATGCAAACGTAAGTAAAAGGTTATAAAAACAAATATCATTTTGAGATGATATGATGGAAAAAACATATGTCATATGTACACATTGCACAAAATTGTGCTAACATTGAGATGCTTGAAAGGTAATTCATTTTTTTTCTCCAACGGGGAATCAAAATGTAAATGTCGGAGACTACAAGACAGTCAGAAAACAGTCCTACTGATAATGCACAAAATTAATTCGAGCAAAAATGCAATAATTGACTTGTTAAAGCTTTGTATGCATCATGTATCAATAAACTGCCTAAATGAATATAAATATAATAAAATAAATACCAAATATAATAAGACAAAAAAAAATCCATGCACAGTAAATTGACACAATCATAATGAACTTTATATTTCTGTATTTCATAACACACATGGATGCTTGGGGCTTGGTTGCACACAGCTTGTTTCATCTCTACTTGCCATTCAACCTTAAAGGCCCACTGCACTACTTGTAGCTACTTGCGCCCTCTATGTAACAAACAATGCCTAATCGGTGACCATTGGTCCCCCATGATCCTCTTTTTCTTATGTTAACTGAGAGCTGAGTTGATGAGATAACCCCTGTCCAGTGACATTGCAGGGCAGTCTAATCCCTCCTGTAAACTACGGCAGATAAGCTTTAAAGGGCAAGTCCATTCCAAAAATAAGTTACTTTCAATAGAAGCAGAAAAATCAGACAAACAATCAAAAAAAAGTTCGAGCAAAATCGGATAACTAATAAGAAAGTTATGAATTTTTAATGACATGAAAACCTTTTTTGAAATCACAAGACAAGTTTCACTCATGAGTCTGTGATGTCATTAAATTGCCTCACTATCCACAAATTGTTTTCTTTATATTGGTAAAATAAATTGTCAATTTTCCCCTTAAATATCTTATTTTATCACACCAGCTTATATTGATAGTAGTATGTTTTTGTGTGGATGCACTAATATAGAGTAATTTTTTAAAAGTTATATCACAAAAAATGTGACTTTTGATAAACTGTTTATATAAAAATCAATGATTATGAATATACAATATTCAGAAAATAGTATCAATTCTTCAAAGTTCATGAAAGATTTTGTGAAATGTATGCACGCAATATGATACATATGACCTGGGCAAAAGCATGGGGAAATCAAGTTTTGGGGTATAAAAAAGGAAATTAATGGGGCAAATATATTTAAAGCAATTGATAAATAGTGAGGCAATTACGTCTCAAATTAACTGATAACCAAATAGGCAATTTGTATAGTGATTTTCTAAGTTCCATAGTTTTTCATACTTTCAACAAAAAATAATAACTTCCCTATAAGTTATCCGATTTTACTCAAATTTGGATTGCTTTGTTTCTCTTGTTTTTCTGCATCTATTCAAAGCAAATTATTTTTGGAGTGGAATTAGACTTTAACATATTCTCTCATTCCCTCTATTGCATAAAGAAAATATGAATTTAATCTTTTGCTTAAATTTGATTATCAGTATCAAACAGGGAAAAAGAAGTGAAGAGGAAATTAATTAAAACAAACATTTTAAGATACCTGCTTAATGTTCATTTGTGATGGATACGAATGCAGGTATGTTAAAATGTGAAATAATTAATTATACAGTGATGATCAATCAATTATTTGACGTTGATTGATTCGTTCATTTTACTCAATCTATCAAACGATACGAAATCTAGCCGTAGTTAATACGGCTCGGTGTAAAAATGTCAGAGGAAAAAATGTCAGAGGTAAAAATGTCAGAGGTAAAATGTCAGAGGTAAAAATGTCAGAGGTAAAAATGTCAGAGGAAAAAATGTCAGAGGTAAAAATGTCAGAGGTAAAAATGTCAGAGGTAAAAATGTCAGGGGTAAAAATGTCAGAGGAAAAAATGTCAGAGGTAAAAATGTCAGAGGAAAAAATGTCAGTCGTAAAAATGTCAGAGGTACAAGCAAAAAAATTAGCAAAGTATTTCGTACATGTCCTGAGGATAATACAATGTGGAAAATAGATTTAGAAATTTATTTTGTTGTGATCAGGCTTGCATATAATGATTGTCTAACATTTTTTGATATTTTGATTTGGTTGATGTGTTAATGTTTGTGAAACGGACATTTTTACCTCTGACAATTTTACCTCTGACAATTTTACCTCTGACATTTTTTCCTCTGACATTTTTTCCTCTGACATTTTTACCTCTGACATTTTTACCTCTGACATTTTTACCTGGCACCGTTAATACACAGACAAGAAGGTAAATAAAGCAGGTATAGATGCCAGAATGCCTCACCTACCATCCCAGTATAGCTTCCTGAGTGAGCTGCCAAAGGGATTACCCAACCAAGTACCAAGTACCAAGATTAAAAGTTTGAATAAAAAATAAGAGCACATATTATATTTATTTAGTTTGGCCAGTTTTTGAGAAATTTTGTTCGCGCCGACTCAGCCGGCCGATGAATAAGCAGGGATGGAGGGGGGGGGGGTGCTGGAGAGGAGGACCACTATTTTTGTTTGGATCCGCGCCTGGCTACGCTCGCTCGCATTTATAGTTGATATAATTAGTTATCAAATATATTTCCAGTCTTTCATGATTAAATCGTGCAAAAAATCCCATTAGGATTGTTTTTTTCTTCTTTATAAGCTGTAATTTTTCGCAATGCGACCTCACGAATCTTGAAACTTTGCTTCCAGGCAGGTGAATATTCAGACTATCACATTCAACTGAAAGTAAAATTATGCTTGAACAGTAGCTCATTGAAACAAATATTGAAATCATCCCTCATTATTGTGATCACAATGTAAACAATAATATTATATATTTTCGCTTTGAGATTTTTTTTTTATTGATAGATCTAAATCAAATATAAAACATTCAAATGACAATAATAGTTTATAATATAATTTAAATATAACTTAAATACCATGGGCGTAGATCTGTCATTAATACCTATTCACTCATCCCCCTGAACAATAGGTATTACGTAAGGATTGACGCCCATGTTAAATACACACACATAAAAATGCATATATATATATTATGGTGGCCCTGAAGGGACATCGCGAATAGACTAAATCGTGAAAAATATGCGATAAAATTCACGATATCGTCAATTTTATCGCATATTTTTCACGAAGAAATTCACGAAATTGACGATATCGTGAACTTTATCGTGAACTTTTCACGATGAAATTGACGATATCGTGAATTTTATCGTGAAAAGTTCACGATATAAAGTTCACGATATCGTCAATTTTATCGTGTACTCTATCGTGTACTCTCCTGACGGGCGCTTCGTAAACAAAACCAGCCCTAGCTGGGGGAGACAGAGAGTAGGAAAAAGGGAAAGGGAAAGAGAAGATAAAAGGAAAGAAAGAATAATAAGAAGAAAAGAGGGAAACGGGGGGGGGGGGGGGGGGGGGGGGGGGGGCGAAGGGCTCTTGCCTCCTCCTCACTCCCCCCCCCCTCCCGCCAAAAAATAAATCAGAGAGAGAGAGAGAAGGGAAAGGGAAAGGGAAAGAGAAGATAAAAGGAAAGAAAGAAGAGGAAGAAGAAGAAAAGAGGAAAACGGGGGAAGGGCGAAGGACTCTTGCCCCCCCTCCCCCCCGCCAAAAAATAAATCAGAGAGAGAGAGAGAAGGGAAAGGGAAAGGGAAAGAGAAGATAAAAGGAAAGAAAGAAGAGGAAGAAGAAGAAAAGAGGGAAACGGGGGCAAAGGGCTTTTGCCTCGTCCCCCCGCCCCCCGCCAAAAAATAAATAAGAGAGAGAGAGAGAGAAGGAAAGGGAAAGAGAAGAAAGAAAGAGAAAAACGAAAAAGAGGGAGAATAGGAAAGAAAGGAAAAGAAAGAAAAGAAAGGAGGCAAGAGCCCTTCGCCCCCGTTTCCCTCTTTTCTTATTCTTTTTCCTCTTCTTTCATTCCTTTTATATTTTCTTTCCCTCTCCCTTCTCTTTCCCTTTATGGCGGAAGGGGGAAGGGGGAGGTAAGAGCCTTTCGCCCTTCCCCCGTTTCCCTCTTTCCGTCTTCTTCTTCTTTCTTTCCTTTAATATTTTCTTTCTCTTTCCCTTTCCCTTCTCTCTATCTCTCTCTCTCTCTCCTATTTATTTGTTGGCGCGGGAGGGGGGGAGGAGGCAAGAGCCCCTCTTTTCTTCTTCTTCTTCTTCCTTTCCTTTTTTATTCTCTTTCCCTTTCCCTTTCCCTTCTCTCTCTATCTCTCTTATTTATTTTTTGGGCGGGGGGATGCAAGAGCCCTTCGCCCCCGTTTCCCTCTTTTCTTCTTCTTCCTCTTCTTCCTTTCCTTTTTTATTCTCTTTCCCTTTCCCTTTCCCTTCTCTCTCTATCTCTCTTATTTATTTTTTGGGCGGGGGGATGCAAGAGCCCTTCGCCCCCGTTTCCCTCTTTTCTTCTTCTTCTTCCTCTTCTTCCTTTCCTTTTTTATTCTCTTTCCCTTTCCCTTTCCCTTCTCTCTCTATCTCTCTTATTTATTTTTGGGCGGGGGGATGCAAGAGCCCTTCGCCCCCGTTTCCCTCTTTTCTTCTTCTTCCTCTTCTTTCTTTCCTTTTATCTTCTCTTTCCCTTTCCCTTTCTCTTCTCTCTCTATCTCTCTTATTTATTTTTGGGCGGGGGGATGCAAGAGCCCTTCGCCCCGTTTCCCTCTTTTCATCTTCTTCTTCCTCTTCTTCCTTCCTTTTTAATTCTCTTTCCCTTTCCCTTTCCCTTCTCTCTCTATCTCTCTTATTTATTTTTTGGGCGGGGGGATGCAAGAGCCCTTCGCCCCCGTTTCCCTCTTTTCTTCTTCTTCTTCCTCTTCTTTCTTTCCTTTTATCTTCTCTTTCCCTTTCCCTTTCCCTTCTCTCTCTATCTCTTATTATTTTTTTGGCGGGGGGTGGGGAGGGAGGAGGCAAGAGCCCTTCGCCCTTCCCCCGTTTCCCTCTTTCCTTCTTATTCCTCTTCTTTCTTTCCTTTTATATTATCTTTCCCTTTCCCTTCTCTCTCTTATTTATTTTTGGCGGGGGGGGGGGGGGGAGGAGGCAAGAGCCCTTCGCCCTTCCCCTGTTTCCCTCTTATTCCTCTTCTTTCTTTCCCTTTCCCTTCTCTCTCTCTCTCTCTCTCTCTTATTTATTTTTTTGGCAGGGGGTGGGGCGGGAGGAGGCAAGAGCCCTTCACCCTTCCCCCGTTTCCCTCTTTTCTTCTTATTATTCTTTCTTTCCTTTTATCTTCTCTTTCCCTTTCCCTTTTTTCCTTCTCTCTGTCTCCCCCAGCTAGGGCTGGTTTTGTTTACGAAGCGCCCGTCAGGAGAGTACACGATAGAGTACACGATAGAGTACACGATAAAATTGACGATATCGTGAACTTTTCACGATAAAATTCACGATATCGTCAATTTCATCGTGAAAAGTTCACGATAAAGTTCACGATATCGTCAATTTCGTGAATTTCTTCTTGAAAAATATGCGATAAAATTGACGATATCGTGAATTTTATCGCATATTTTTCACGATTTAGTCTATTCGCGATGTCCCTTCAGGGCCACCATAATATATATATATATATATATATATAATTGCAAAACTTGAATTAATTAAAGTACGGAGGTAGGTAAAATAATCAAGAAAAATGCAGAGGCCAACTAAGGCATGAATGACCTTTGTATGTGCCCTTTTCCCCATGAAAGTGTCCTTTTTTTGTTGTTGCCTCCCCTGAATATATTGATTAGTTATGTAAATTCGGCGAAACATTGCTGCGGCCTGCGGCCAGCTAGTTAGCTCGACCGAGCAGCATTTAATGTAGCGATATCACTGACCTCATATGCCAAGGCGCGCGCTGTGCGCAACGACTCATTTTTCAGGAGCAGCCGATATATCGCTACCAGCTGACAAGCTGGCCCGGAGCGCCTCGCCGAGTGTAAATAATTATATTGTAGCCTACTTACTGAAGTAGCTTGACTGGTGTTGTATTGAGAGGGACGTCTCGGGGATTCCACAAGCCGCCAGATACACTGGATGTAACATCAGCAGCAAAATGTTGAGCTATCAATGTTACCTCTACATTTGGAATTGTTTCAATTATATTAACAGCTGATGAGAGCCCAATAATACCAGCGCCGACGACACAAACGTTTCTTGGTCTTACCGCTGCCATGTTGATTGTTTACGAATTGATCTCTCAGACTCTGAGAGCGAGAGACTGCCTAACGTGGACGGACACATATTACGTTATCATAATGAGCTGGCTGTGTAATGCTTCATCGCGCGAGCTATACAAATCGGATACAAATAGTGAATGAAGTGTCAATGAACTGTCCCTCGTTGGGTATCTGACGTCTCTTATCTTTCACCCCGTGCAATGCACTCATGGCCATTCACTATTTGTATAATATACAACACCTACCAATACTCTTGCAACCTTATTGGTCAATTGCTGAATTATACATTTCCTAAATTAGACGGAATAAACCATCTTGTCCATGTGGGCAATCCTTACCTAAAAATGAATTTGGAAATCTTCCCTCGGTTAATATAGTCTCTATTAAGTCTCAGTGCAACAACCATCATTAAAGGCACACTGTCCTACTTGTAGCTACTTGCTCCCTCTATATATTATAGAAAATTTCCCAAATCGGTGCCTGTTGGTCCCCCATATGATCCTCTAGGGGATCATGGGGACCTACGGAAGCCCATTAGTGCCACCATACGAAATAAAATTTAAGAGGAATTATCTGGCGGCCGCCAGATAATTAGAGGTCTATAACGTACAGCTGCATAATGGTAGGATAGTGGAAGCACTGTCGTACTGATGGGGGGGGGGGGGGGGGGGGTGCATGGGGCACTTTTACCCACAGTCAGAGGCGGCATTCTTGGTTGGGAGGGGGGACACTGTGCCCCCTTATCCTTTGTACATGTCCTTTTTCCCCGGCCCCCCCACTCAATGTTATTTAGGGTACGCATATGCTCGTTCCCTCTTTATGAAAGCACCCCTATCTGAGGACTGCAAATATTTCTGTGGGCATTTCGCGGGCTTTTCCTGCCTTGGAGACCCCCCTAAATCAGGAAAAATGCTCAATGTACCCCCCTATATTCGGAATAATTTCTCAGGAGTTTATTTCTAATTCGATTCCAGTTTTACAAATGTTGTAGAATTGGCATGATTTTTCCCTGACCTTCCGAGTGCCCTGACCCCTGGACCCCACCAAGTGCCCTATAAATCTGGCCCCTGGTTGCTCATCTGTCCGAAATTTAACGCCTAAAACGCCTGAGCTTCCAGGTGCTCTGCTCCCTGTACCCCACCAAGGGCCCTAAGGTGGCCCCTTGATGCTCATCTGATCGTAATTTAATGCCTAAAACCCCTGAGCTTCTGGGGGCTCCGCCCCTGGACCCCACCCCAATAAGTGACCTGCATGCCAGTGTCACAAAATTGTCAAAATATGCTCATCTGACCTAAATGCCTAAAACCCCTGAGCTTCATTAGGCTCCGCCCATGGACACCCGCCGGAGCTTCCCTCTGGACCCTACGCCAATGAACGCTCCACTTTGCTTTGCTTTGCTTGGCTCTACCTGATCGTAAATATTTTAGCCCTCCCCCCCCCCCCCCCTCACTTTGAAAAACGTTCCCAGGGCCTGCGGTTTTTTTTTCTCCGCTCCCAAACGTTTTTGCCAATTAAGCCACTGCTCTCTCGTCCCTCGCATTTCGACCCCCCGGTCATGAAAAGAAATCGCCGCCCCTGGGCCCAGGCTATATGATTTGTATCATATTGCGTGCATGACATTTCACAAAATCTTTTATGAAATTTGAAGAATGGATACTATTTTCTGAATATTGTATATTCATAATAATTGATTTTTATATAAATAGTTTATCAAAATTCAAATTTTTCATGATTTAGCTGAAGAAAAAAAATCTATATTTCCACACAAAAACATATTACTGTCAATATAAGTTTGATGCTGGTGTGAGGAAATAATTTTTTAGGGGGAAAATTGGAAATATTATTTTATCAATATGAAGTCGATAGTGAGGCAATGACGTCACAGACTCATGAGTGTGTTACCACTTTGTCTTGTGATTTCGAAAAGGTTTTCATGTCATTACAAATTCATGGTCGGGGAACTTTAAAGCGCTTAGAAACTCGAACATTGCCGATGTATTAAGCGCTTTATAAGCAAAACACATAATTCTATCAATATAGCAATTCTATATACCAACATATTATAAGGAATAAAATAATGATACGTGATTTGGCTTAGTTAATGTGAATCGTAATTAACATGATTGATATTAGCCAATAACCAATTTTTCGTTCGAAAGAAATGAAAGAAGAAATTTACGGGCAAAAGTATAGTCATTAAGGAGTGAAGGGAAAAGGTATATTGGTGATTAATTGGAACACTTTAATCATTTACCACATACCAAAACTATTTTCATGGCCATGATTCAATATCTTAAAGTTTCTTCTCTATGGAACGATCTCCGTTCTGCACTATTAAAATCAGCCCATCGCTTAAATTCTTTTAAATTAATGCCTTTATTAATCCCATCATTAAAGCATGTATTCATAGTGTGATGTGGTGTATTACATGTCTGTCTCATTTATTTGTTTGTTGCATGTAGCCTGGCGGATCAATAATTTTCCAAGGGGGGTGAGGAAGGATAAACGAAATTGCGAGCGCAAAGCGCGAAGCGTTAACGGCGTGGGGTCTGGGCCCAAGGGTCCCGGAAACAATCATGATTGTGAACCGCTTAAGATAAGGTACATTCTGAGGCATTTCTGAACGTGTAAACTGAACAATTAATTGAATATTTCTTAGCGCTTTCCCTGCTATTTTTTGGAGGAAAAGGGGAGGGGGAGGGCGTGTGCCCCTAACGCTTCCCTAAATCCGCCCCTGAAATATCACAAGGCTATTTAAATTGCTCCTTTATTTTTGTTGAACCCTCATTCTCATAATTTTGTGAAATTGCTTTGTATTGTTTTCTATTGATGATGCTCAGTCGTTTATATGCTTGTAGACTTACGTTCAGTAAAGATTGAGAATAAACTGAACTGAACTAAATTAGTTCAGTTCAGTTTGAAAAAACATCTCTGAGTCTGCACCCTCGAGCGCTGCCGGGCTGCGTCTTATTCCCCTATATTCGTGCGTATAAATAATGGGCCTATGCCTGAATATAAACCTAATTCATTTCTTTCGCTGTAGGGGAGATACAAACGTATCAGGACAATTACTCCCTGGGCAATCGCCCCCCGTAAAATTACTCCCAAGGACAATTAGGAGGACAATTACCCCCCCCCTCCCCGCCCCCAGGAAAACTGAGGACAACCACCTCTGAGGACAATACCCCCACCCCGAAAATCACACCCCCCCCCCCCCCCCTGTTCGTAAAAGGGTTTTTTCGGGGGGTAATGTCCTCGACGGGTAATTGTCCTAGGGGTGATTGTCCTCAGGGGGGGGGGGGGGGAGTGTAATTTTTCCGGAGGTTAATTGTCCTATGGGGTAGTTTTCCAGGGGGTGATTGCCTAGGGGCCAGGGGGTAATTGTCCTAGAACAAACCATGATTGAATATGTTTCGCTTTGACCTTTGTTGTAAAAATTTAATTGAACCTCTCGAGTCTGTATTTTCAAACTAGTAATAGCGACGAGCATAATTATTTTTCGCTGACTCTCATTAAATTTGAGGCGGATACTGTATAACGCGCATTGTACAGCGAATTTCTTCATGCACAGCAAAAGCAAACATGGCGTCCACCACTGATACTCAAAGTGGCCAAGTAAGCGAGAGTCAAGACACGGATAATGCAGCTATTCCGGAAAATGGGGTGGTGGTAAGTCTTAAAGAGACCAAATGCAGTGTGGTGTGAATTCTAAATCCTTTTTTTACTCGAGAAAAATGGTGGAAAGTTGAACAATTTGATGCCGATTGAACAACTCGCTTTTTTGTCCATTCATTTTTTGTCGACTTACTCTTGCATCAATGCATGTGTACATCATGTGTAACATGCGCACAGACGTCGACAGGGTCATGTTTCATTGACCGTGATGACAGTGCGAATTATCCAGTGACACAAACATTTTGAACAGGAAAGTCAGGCTAGTGCTAAAATCTAAATCTGAATCAGTAAATGCTACGGCTCAACACTCTTGGTGGAGCAAAATGAGTCAGATTTGACTGGGTACGGGTGTGCGTAGCCTAACCTAAATATGCACGTTCATTGGGCACAAGAGGGCGCTTTGCGCACGTACAGTAATCTGAATCAGTGAATGGCCTTCTTGCGTTGAGTCGGCACTAATCAGCCCACAGCTTGGATATTGTAAGGCAGAAGGATTATATCTTTTTATAATGTTATCCGGTCTTGATTGTCGACGATAAAGTCAAGATAAGAGATGAAATTGTTTCTCTAGGGACTTGTTGGTTGAAGGCGGGTGCACGAAGAACTTTGCGCTAAATGTAAGCTAAAATTCTATGTGGGGTGGAATATGACAGGGGCCATCCGATCCGAGCCTAGTAAATCAAGTTAAGGGGTGAATATATTTGCGAACTTTTCTTAGTCTTGCTATATTACCAAACCCCAAACAGAACCAAAGCTCATGTAAAACATAACTGAACTCTGCCAAACTGAACCGAACCGAACCTGAACCGGAACATGGCGCCTGGCTTACAGCACTGTCAATTGTCAAACGATATTTGTGTGAATATATTTAATCACTTTCATGACAATTCAGAGTAAAACATGTGACTTGAGTTTATTAAAACATGAGAAAACAAAGTTCTTCTTCCTTTTCTTCGGGTAACATGAACTGCTTCTACATGTAGTTCCTTCAGGTTTGAAGATACTTGCAGATGGTTGACTCTGCGTGTGTGGGTAGCTGAGTTCAGGTGCAGCGTGCATACTATTTATTAGGTGCAAGTAAAAAGTTGGTCAAGCTTTCAGCAGTAACACTCTACCCCGGACAACTCGGCCTCTTCATGAAGAACATGCAACCTGCAAGTTACAAAGTAAACTGCTGTTGGTGTGCGGAGAGAAAGGGTGGTGACTTACATGTATCACAAAAAGGAGCTCAGAGATGATGGGTTCAAATAGGCCTCATGATCAATATTTTTTTAATCACAAAATTTTTCTTATTTGCTATTGCTTGATTCTAGTATTTTGATATTGTGTGTTTTGCAAATTAAGGCCCGAAAACAGGAAACCGTCAATACCCGACGACAGTTCTGTAGATGCGTTAATTGATGATGTTTGTGTTCATCCTTATTCTTACATCTCAGGCTGGAGGGGAAGGTGACCAGCAGCCAGCACAACCACAACCTAACATGTGGCAGATGGTGAAGGGTATGGCATTCCGCATGTTCATCATCTATATGATTATGAGCTTCTTCAGAGGTAGATCCAGCAGTACACCGGCCGACACACCAGCAGGCGAACCAGGCCAAATAGCCACTAGACCAGGCACCAACCTTTTTTCTACTGGAACTCTCATGGTATTGTTCTCTTCGTGATCATCTCTCTCTCTCTCTCTCTCTCTCTTTCTCTCTCTTTCTCTCTCTCTCTCTCTCTCTCTCTCTCTCTTTCTCTCTCTCTCTCTCTCTATCTCTGTTGCACTCTCTTGCACTGAGATGGCCTTAAGTACATGTATATCCCTTAAAATATATCCCTGAAGTAAATCCCTTTATAAATTTGGGGAATAAATTAAGTGTAAAGGATATTTTCCTTTATATCTATGTATTTTTGCACCTCCATGCTCAGTTTTCCAACTGCTTATATATTTAAATATATGTCATTTCTTTCTCTTTCTCTCTCTCTCTCTCTTTCTCTCTGTTTTACCCTCTTGCACTGAGATGGCACTCCCTTTATTAATCAATTAAGGGAATAATTTAAGTTTATAAGATATTTTCCATCATATCTATGTATTTTTGCACCTCCATGCTCAGTTTCCCAACTGCGTTTAAAAAGTTGTTATGGGTGGTTTGAATATATTTGGCAATTTAATGTACTACTATAACTATATAGTATAATATTGACTTTAAACTTTTCGGTGAGATTTGAATCTTTCATTTGGCAGTCGTGCTGGATGAGAAAATTAATTGAGAATGAATATATGATTGTTCTCTTTTTTTGTTTTTCATTTTTTGTGTTAGGATCTGAGAGTATATGTATCGGAGGAGGAGATCTTTACAGAGTTTAATAACTCCCAGTTTTTATTTTGGGAGATTGAAGAATTAGAGTATGGAGACTGGGAAGCTGGTGAAAAGGGTGATGGAACATTTGAATTGGATGGACAAATTCAAGCTACAGAGGTAAGTAATGACTTGATTAATTGAGGAACAAGTAATTTTTTTACAAAAACTGAAATTTCATTGACGATAATTCTTGCTTTGCTCATATCACCTATGGAACATTTTGCTGTGAGCTTTCATGCTTCATAATATGATTGGATGTTATTATCCTGGCTTTAGCTGGATTCCTTTATACAGCACTCAAGCACTAAAACGGCACCGAAGGAATCAGTTCTTTCTTTGTCTCCATTTACTACACCTGGGTCAAGTGTAGCACATTTACATTGATATCTTTCCAAGGTTGTCTCTGAGATTTGAACCCTGTATTTAATAGTTGATGTGTAGTTTGTTGGTTCATCCAATAGTCCAGTGGTCCACTCCTCTGTTATACACCGATTCGGGCGACTTCTGGTGGAAGTGCGCCCTCATAAGGTGACGCCATAACTGGGGGGCGTCTGACTGCAGCTAGCTAGCTTACATTGCAACGTGTATGCTATACCTATACCGAACCTCGCCCAGGCCGGCCAGGGTCGCTGCTCCGCTAGCTAGTAACCGCTCTCGAGCTCTCTGTACTGTCAGCTGGATCGGAGAAGCCCCCCAGTTATAGCGCCGCCACCGGCGGGCAGGTACATAAAACCCCCAAACCGAATCGGTGTATACTGCATCAATCCTGTGTATTCCAACTTCTGTAGTAAACCTAAAATTTAATTTTTATGGAAAGATGCCTTCTCTCTTCCTTCAGAAGACTGACAGAGAATTTTTTTTTTTTAAAGAAGCGACTGAATCACATTGTTAGTAAAATTGATTGAATATCATTTTTCTTTTCTGATTTTTGTACAAATTTCTAGTCTATCTAGAGATTGAAAATGAAGTTGTTAATTGTTACCTTACTGCCCGATCTCTTGTCTTTGTTGCAGAGTATGATGAACAATGCATCAATATACCTCCATGTATTCTTCACAAAATCAGGGTATTCCCCAGACCCCAGACAGAGGGGAAAGTATGCCAAAAAGTACACTGTGTCAATCTCAAAAAGTGAGTATATAATCTAGGTAAACATCTTTCTTTATGTGCAATACATTTTACATTGTTTCACTTGTATTATGGCTTACTTATCACTGAAGAGTGAAGAATATATAAACTGAATGACTGTGTGTGTGTGTGTGTGTGTGTGTAATTGATTTTTTACAGATGTGTATCAATCAGATATGATTATTTACGTCTGGGGACCGACTTTTAACATCACCGTCCAAAAGACGTGACTCAGTTTCAAACATGCATCCTCAGCTGAATCAGTTTGTAACTTCCATTATGAGCTGGATTACAGGCACACGCCACAACACCCTGTTGTATAGACTCCTATATAGAAGTGTAGTCTGTGTTATAGGCCGTTTATAATATATTTTGATTTATAAAAAAAATATTTGAAATGTAATTGTAATTTTAAAAATTGTTCATGTTAGCACAAAGAGTCACATTATTGAATTTACTTTCAATTAAGTATTACATTTTGAATGGAGCATATCAAAACCAGGGATCTGTACAAAGTACTGTAGCCAAACAAGATTACTTGATTTATGCAATATTGCGATACATACGTATACATGATGAAAATGTAGCTTAACAATACATTTTCTTTATTACAGAATGTGAATGGTTTAATTGTTAATTTATGCATGAAGAAACAAATGATGTTTTGAAGTTCTTTGTCCAAGACTTTTTGTTTCCTTTTTTCACCTGACAGGAATAAACAAATTCAAGAAGAGGCGTTTCCAGAAGACAACAAATTTGTTGACCGGAGAAACAGAGGCTGACCCAGAAATGATTAAGGTAACAAATCATTGCATTTTGAAACTTTTAAGCGTATTAAATATCTCTGGTTGAAAAAATATATATATAAATACTTAAAGCCTTACAGATTTTTAAAAGCTGCCCAAGCTGAAGAAATAAGAATTACTTGGAGACCAGCTTTCTTTTCAGGGATTTGTTCGAAGGTGTGCTATCAAACCAAAGGTGTTTTTACCAAATTATTTGTTTTACAGATACCTGGAAACAAAAGAGTGAGAGCTTGCAATCTACATGATGCTTTGTAGAAATACATGTTGAAACTGTTACTGTATAGATGCATCAAGATATGCCATCACCAGAGGTCAAAGGTGAAAGGTCATAGCTCATTAAATATGCAAAAACACCCAATTATATAGGTAAAAATGTGGTTAACTTCCTTGCCTAGTAATATAATAGTATAGTCCAATAGAGGTAACTTGTTATGACGTATATAGGCCATTTGTACCCTGTGAGGGGATGCTACGCTTTGCGTTGACTTGTATTATTATTGTTATCGAAAAACTGTATACTTACATGAATGCAGAAGAAAATCAAATCAATTCATATCAAATCAAATAGGGCCCTGTAATATGTATTACTCAAGCCATTTACATCTGGCTGAAGAGTCACAAAAGTGTATAAATATATCATCCAATGATGTAAACTCACAGCAAAGTTCAAACCAAGGACCTGTCGTACGAGAGCCAAGAGCCTTCATCAATCCACAAAAACTTGATGTTTCATACAAATTCACTTTCTTATATTTCTTTTACATCCACAGAGAGCAGAATCAGAGGGACCAGTTGAAGTTCTGTCTCACTGGCATCCTAATTTGACAATTTCTCTTGTCCATGATCATTCACCATGGAAACAAGGCAGTGTTCCTTCACCCCTAGACAAAAGTGAGTATTCTCCTCTTTTTCTTAACTGATAGAATGGTGATAGCTAATTTGTTTCAAGAACAAAAAGATATTTCTCCATTCTATAGCATAACTTCCAGGTATGCTAGTTACAACTACATGAATCCTCAGATTTATGAACACAGCATGTTATTTAGTACTTAATACATCTACAATGTCTCTAAGTACTACAGAAATATTGTTATTGCAAGTAAAAGTATAGAATAATATTTAATCTTATAGCTTTACTGCATGTAGTCAAATAGAATATCAAAAGTAGGGCTGCGACATGTAGTCGAATGCTCGAGTACCCGCACGGTTGACAACTTCTCGGGTAGGATTTCTCGTACCCGAATATTCGGCCGCAAAAAAAAAAAAAATCTGTCCAGGACGACACTTAGCCGTGCCTGGTTGGTAAAAATGTTTCCAAACTCAAGCACCGTCAAACTCACCACTCAGAAACTTGGACCAAAAAATGTCTGGATTTCTGTTTGGACTTGGAGGAAAATGGATTATTCTGCCATCTTTGGTTTTTAAAACAGCATTGTTTACTGATATTATTATTATTAAATCGGCGCCTTCAACTGCAACTCGAAGTAAAATTGCATGCGTTTTCGGCGACAGAACTGGGATAGTGCTCCAGAGGTATGATGGTGGCCAAAGAATAAAAAATAAATAAAAAAAATTCAAAAAAATTATAAAAAAACATGGCGTCCGAATATTCGAGTATTCACTTGTAAGCCTGGGAGTGTACTCGGGTACCTCATTAAACTGTTGTGCATAGCCTTAATCAAAAGGAATTCATGTTGCATTGATTTCGGTTGTTGTAATAAATAAATCTGGGCCGTAGTACTGAGATGGGACTGGTAACAATTGCAAATCTTTTGTAATCAATCACAACTCTTTTATAATATGGGCTACAGAAGTGATACTTGTTCCATTTCTATATTCTGAAATGGACTTTCCATCCTCTTGGTTGTATTTTTGTAATGTAGGACCATACTTAATCACAATCATGACCACACTTAATCATATTCATGACCACACTTAATCACAATCATGACCACACTTAATCACAATCATGACCACACTATGGCACACTTAATCATATTCATGACCACACTTAATCATATTCATGACCACACTTAATCACAATCATGACCACACTTAATCACAATCATGACCACACTATGGCACACTTAATCATATTCATGACCACACTTAATCATATTCATGACCACACTTAATCACAATCATGACCACACTTAATCACAATTATGACCACACTTAATCACAATCATGACCACACTTAATCACAATCATGACCACACTTAATCACAATCATGACCACACTTAATCACAATCATGACCACACTTAATCATATTCATGACCACACTTAATCACAATCATGACCACACTTAATCATATTCATGACCACACTTAATCATATTCATGACCACACTTAATCATATTCATGACCACACTTAATCACATTTACGACCACACAATATTGTCATAGTGTCAATCATAGTGATATTCCAAGTTACAATATGTTGATACATTAAACATTTCGTCTTTATATTGGTATTAAAGGTAAAGACCAGTTATGGTCATGGGATTGCATTGTGAAAGAAACGTTGTGGAATCGATCAGAAAAGGTTGATCATCTAGCATATAAGTATTGGTGTGTACTACAAGGTTCTGGAGTCATCAAAATGATAAGAAATTTGGCCCAGTCTTCGTAAAGTTACAAGCACTGTACACAGAAAGATGTATATGGGACTATATGCACACGTGCGCGACACATGCGTTTATCTCTCACAGACCATGTAGATAAACTAATTTACCAAATATATCAATTGGTAGGCGGTTTCCAGGCAAAATTGTTATCATCATGTATTAGTCAAAACATATTCTTTCACATGATTGATAATAAGAGCTTCCATTTCATTTTTTGAAATTGGAGCATTTCCAATACTGGTCTTTACCTTTAACTAAGGTGCATGTATCTTCAGTAATGATGCTGAAGACGGGTTCAAAGTTTCATGCCAACTGTGTTATACATAATTATGCAGGGTTGGCTATAATGAGTTAATATATACAGTTAGTGATACATGATCTGTTCCAGAATTAAACATAAATCCTGAAGATTGGTCTATGTTATATTTCATACATGTGTCTGATTTCTGGAAAATGTACCATCGTGTAGTTAAATGGTGTATTCTTATGTTATTCCCTCTATTTTATATCATTAGTGATCAAATTCCATCCTTCTGGCGACTATTATCCTATTGTCTTCATCAATGACTACTGGAATCTTAACAGTGAATACCAGCCCATCAATGAAACAACAGAGTAAGTATTGATAAGACAGTAGGTTAAACATTCCTAATCATAAGATCCCATTATATGTTAATAGCCCGATTATGAACGGCCATTTTAAAAGAATTTGATATTGTGGCAAGTTTGGGAGTTTTTGTATAGCTATAATTCTATGCAATGTTGAAATCAATCTCCCTACTCACCATTTACATTTCACCATCATGAACAACTTCCTTCTTTGAAAATTTGCTCTGTATGTTTTTAATTTTTTTTCCAGGGAATTACCATTTCGACTGACCTATACACCCATGGGTCTATTCAAGCTTCAGTTCTATGCTGCACAGACCATGAGGAATCAGTGGTCTGCGCTTCTCGGAGAGGACAAAGGAAATGAAGATGAGGAAGAAGATGGTCTCAAGGTTCGCACAAATTCATTTTCTCTTCCTTTTCTTTTGTGTAGTCAAGGCAGTATAATTTTGTGTGAGGTGCTTAATAGTTCTCATAGCAATGGTATACATATTCTTTGTAGATTTGCTCGTGAACACGATAATTTGAGAAAAAATTATGTATGTATAACCATGTAAAGATTACCTGATTACATTTTGGGGTCAAAAGGTCAAAGGTCAGAGGTCAATTACTACCTTCAATCCCATAATTAGAAAATACTAATAATGTTGCAGGCGCAGGCATATTTTTTGACCGTGCGGAGTTGATTTTTTTTTTTTTCTTCTATTTTTTAATAGCTTTTATCTAAATTAAATTTTGTAGAAATATAGATAGGAATTGACATGTTTCCTTTTCGCAGTGTTATGTGGATTGTAACAAATTTGTCTGTTAACTTTTTTATTTTTCACAGAGAGCCATCTTAGAAACCAACCCATACCTGCTTGGTCTAACCTTTGCTGTGTCCATTGTACATAGCGTCTTTGAATTCCTGGCATTCAAGAATGGTGAGTTCTTGGTCTAAAAGAATCCCAAGTGTTGGTTAGGGACATGAACTTCATTAAATGTTGCTTTCTTAGTGCATCTTAATATATGAGTCCTGGGCCCCATTTCACAAAACTTTTCATCAGTGACACATGGCAGTGTACGTTATAAGCTACTTAAATTCTTGCTTCTGATTGGTCATCATCAGATTTGTCACTGATTTTTGTCATTTGTCATTGAAAAAAGGCTTTGTGAAACACTCCCAGGTCACTTCTGTCAAAAGCAGTCTAAGGTCTTCCCCCAAATATGATCAGATTTATTTGGATATGGTCTTTATGCTACGTTTACACTCTGTTCCCGGCAAAATGTGGCAAAACGGTACAAAATGCGCAGCAACCGTGAAGCAACCGTGACAAAACGTGCACTAAACGTGGCAGAAAGTAACAAACTTGAATAGACCGTAAGATGCCGATCCTACTACGGACCACCTCCCAAGTTTTGTTACGGCCTGGACTGTCACGTTGTGTTACGTTCACCCCGTTTTACTACGGCCTACTAGGTTTCTCATCCGCACTGTGACTGCCGTGGCATTTATTTTGACAGTTGAAAAATCTGACACGGTATCCACGGCAATCACGGCCTGTCACGTTCGCCCATACGGTCCCCCGCGTTGTGTCCTGCTTTGTCTATGTTGGCCCGAAACGGGGTTGCCGTGGCCGCTACCGGGAACATAGTGTAAACGTAGCATTATACTGGAGATATAAAATGGTCTCTTTTGATAAACCATACATGTTGTTTTGTCCTGGATCTGTCATAGTTTCCAGCTTCATCTGTAAATTTGCCATTGCCTGAAATATCATTGTATGAGCTTTATATTCCTTTTAGCTAAATGCTTGAAAGTTGACTGTATAAATAAGGATTAATTTAGAAGATTTCAATGCCCTCTTTAAAATCTACTGCACTAGTTTGGCCAGGAGGGATTAGACCTCCCTGCATGGTCACTGACAAGTGGTTATCTCATCAACTCAGCTCTTGATTAACATAAGAAAAAGAGGATCATGGGGGACCAATGGTCACCGATTAGGCATTGTTTGCTATATAGAGGGCGCAAGTAGCTAAAAGTAGTGCAGTGGGGCTTTGAATATATTTTCATTTCCTCCCGACAGATATCCAATTCTGGAACAGCCGTAAATCTATGGAGGGCCTGTCCGTACGTTCTGTATTCTTTGGTGTGTTCCAATCCCTTGTGGTACTACTCTACATCTTGGACAACGAGACTAACTTTGTAGTCAAGGTCAGTGTTTTCATCGGTCTCCTCATCGACTGCTGGAAGATCACCAAGGTCACCAATCTACAGGTCAGTCTCTACATAAACATCAGGGGGTTCTTTCACAAGGACTCTAAGTTGAACTTATCTCTAAGGTGGACTTAAAAATTATGGAGAGCCATTTGTAGCCTTAAAATAGAATATATTCAAAAGCGAAAATTCAACTTTTTTAGACTTTTTATAAATTCTGCATCAAGAACATGAAATCTCCTTGATAATAGAAAATATGAAGGAAACATTTTATGCCTTTTAAAATAACTTTAAAAAAATATTTCATAGATGCTAATGACTTTCCATAATTTTTTAAGTCCAACTTAGTGATAAGTTCAACTTAGGATATTTGTGAAACACCCCCAGGTATGCACAATGTAAAAGCAATACCTGGGGAGTGTTTCACAAAGACTAAGATCGACTTCTGGTTGGACTTAACTATGGCAGGCTGTTCATGCCACTAGTTCCTCTAACCATTCCTGGCATTGGTATCTCAAGGGACGTACAAATCATGGTCACAAATGTACAGAATTTACATTTTTGATAGTTCATGATTGAAGGAAAAAATAGTATCTAAAGATTATAATTGAGAGACCAATGGTGGGATCAACTAGTGGCATGAACTTAAAGTTGATCTTAGTTTTTGTGAAACACCCCCCTGGTATACATGTGTATCAATTTTCAATATAAATTTTGTGCAGTAGACTGTAAATGACCATCAGTTATTGACATTTGCAAGCCAGGCAGTTATCTAGGTTGCTGGTAAACCAAATTAAAAGTTGGATTAGAACCTGATTGGATGTTCAGATTTTCTCTGTTGTGCTTTAGAGTGATTAATCTCCCTTTGGATCTACTAACTCTGTAGGGTAGGGGTTATTTCTACTGTATAGCAAATATTTGCCATCCTCTATCCAGGAAAAGTCAAAGGTAGCTTGTATGAACAAATTCCTTGTCAGCTCTGCCAGAAACATGATAATTTAGCTTCAGGTTTGTAATGTGGTATATTCATGTAGTTATTTGGCATTCCGAATGATTAATTGTTTTATTATTTTGTGTACCCTTTGTCTCCTCTAGCCTCTTGTCACAATCCATGTATTGGTATATTAATGCAAGATGTATTTCATGTCTAATTCTTTATTGTATTTTTTTTCTCCATCTAGTTTGACAGAGAGAGTTTAATCCTAGGATTCATTCCAAAGCTAAAATTCGCTGACAAAGTCTCCTACACAGAATCAAGTACAAAGCATTACGACAAGGTATGTTCATCATCTCTTATATGTTCTTCTTTAGCAGAATAATGGGAAAGGGAGTAAAGCAACTTTTGTAGGGGTAATATTATTTCTAAGTGGTTCATTCTAATGTGCACATTTCATCTAGTTAATTTAATTCAACCCTAATGCTGTTTGCTTATTAGACCTTCTGATCAGAATTATGTGAATATATGTCATATAAGAAGAAAGAAATTAATTACTTTTTTTCCAGGGCAACAAAACATAACTTTATGTATGTCAGTTTGTTTCCTATCTTTCATTTGTATAATCCCACAGGAATATTTCTTTAGTGTATTGAAAGCTAGTTGTTTTTATCAGAATTATGTGAATATGTTATATGTGAAGAAAGAAATTCTTTACTTTTTTCCCAGGGCAACAAAACAAAACTTGATGGATGTCAGTTTGTTTCCTATCTTTCATTTGTATAATCCCACACAAATATTTCTGTAGTGTATTGATAGCTGGTTGTTTTGATCAGAATTAAATATGTTATATATGAAGAAAGAAATTATGTACTTTTCTCCCATTGCAACAAAACAAAACTTGATGTACGTCGGTTTGTTTCCTAACTTTCATTTTGATCCCACACGAATACTTCCATAATGTATTGATAGCTGGTTGTTTTTCTATAGCATTTTGTTTTATTTCCATAACCCTCATCAAACAACCTTTTTCCTTTCCTGTTGTAGATGGCGTTCAAGTACCTGTCATGGTTACTATTCCCTCTGCTGGCTTGCTTTGCCGTCTACTCTCTCTTCTATCAGGAGCATAGAGGCTGGTACTCATGGGTGCTCAATATGCTCTATGGATTCTTACTTACATTTGGTAAGATCTACTGCAGCTCCTCACTCCTCAGTACTGACTCGCATTATTACATGAACATAAGTAGAAATAGCATTTGTAAAGTGACTGAATATAGAGACTTAAAGTCTGGTTATAATGTGTTCTTAAAAGGATTTTTTTTTTATACAATTACTAGATGACAGATATTTCAAGCCCCCCCCCCCCCCCCCCCCCACTTCCTAAAAAAGTGTGAATTGACAGGTTTTATGTAATTACTAGATCACTCGTAAAGTAGGATATCAATTGATCGTTTTATTCCATTGATCTAGCTAATACATGTAATTGAGATGACAGAGATATCATTAACTTTTTCTGAATGAATAAAGTATTCTGAGTAGTGATCTTTGGCTGTTCAAATGCTCATTGGAGCACTTTAGTTTTGTGACATTTGGTATTCTGTATTTCTTCAAGTGTTCAATCCAGCTTCACTTCTTTCTATGATTTTCTCACAGGTTTTATCATGATGACACCACAACTCTTCATTAATTACAAAATGAAGTCTATAGCACATCTTCCCTGGCGTATGCTGACTTACAAAGCACTTAACACCTTCATCGATGATATATTTGCATTTGTAATCAAGATGCCTACACTCTATCGCATTGGATGCCTTAGAGATGGTGAGTTCAAGTTTAACCCTATTCTTAGGAAAACATTATTATAAGGCAATTTATCACCGTTTAACATTCAGCAGTACTTTAAACTGCATGTTCATGTCTGTGGACCTTCCATGGTCAGATGTACCCCCCCCCCCCTCACCTGCTCTCATTAAAGATAAACTTGAGTTCTGGTAATGCGATTGCATTGTGAAAGAAAAGGTGTGGAATGGATCAGAAAAGCTGATCATATAGCATGTAAGTAATGGTGTGTAATGCAAGGTTCTAGAGTCATCAAAATCATCATAAATTTGGCAGAGTCTTGGTAAAGTAACAATCACTTACACAGATAGATGTATATGGGACAACACACATGGTGTCGGGGCTAGTACTACCCTGATTTCCTTATCTTTCTATGCTCATTACTCAGCCAGTATACATTTTCTTCCAAAATTGTTTGGCACATGACATTTATTTGTAATCTTGAACATTCAGTGTAAGTTTCGTTAGATTCTGTGAAAATTCATTTTCTTTTTTTTACCAGAACTCAAGTTTATCTTTAAGCCAAGTTAGTAGATAATTAATACTATATCAACAGTGGATGAATGAGCATAAGAATTTTTAAGGTTTCTTCCTTTAACAAAATTATTTCATGGATGTGATATACTTTCCCTGAATTATATTTCCTTCTTATTTGACATGGTTCATTCGCAGTGAGGAAATTCTATTTCTAGAAAATAAAGATTACTGTACGATATTCAAAGGCGATTGATTATACTTATTCACTAAATTTCATTGTGAGTATCATCACCAGCATTGTACAGGAGTTAGTTAGTGAAGGTAATTGTGATGATCTTGTTGTCTTCTTAGGGTTCAAGGTCATTGTTAATTTGAGTTCTTTCAGCTGTGAGATGGAGCTTTTGTTATCAGCCCAATAATTATCAAACAATCTGTTATTAAAGCTATGTGGCTTTTTTTCCAATTCTACAGATGTCGTCTTTCTCATCTTCTTATATCAAAAATACATCTATCCAACTGACTACAAGCGAGTGAATGAGTTTGGTACTACGGGTGAAATGCACGCAGCGGTAGACCCAAATGCAGCAGTCAATGGGGGCGCCACACCTTCTATTGAGGCTGCAGATAAGTCGAGTCAGGAGAAGAAGGACGATTAAGTTTAGGCTCGATTTTATTTCTTTGTGTATTTGATGGTGCTGTGAATGTCCCTCTCTTACAATAGGAATTTGTACCATGCATGGGGAAAGAATGACTTGAACCCTTTGCTATTCTCTCTCTCTCTCTCTCTTTCTCTTTCTCTTTATCTCTGTCTATCTCTCTCTCCATCTCTCTCTCTCTCCTGTATACCCATTCATCATCTTGAGCATGAACATAACATTTAGTTGGTTTGGGGTTGGTTGTTGTTGGTTTATTCTACATAACTTTCCCAGCAAAGAGTGAGTGTGTGTAAGTAAGATCAAAGTAGTTTGTTGTGCAACCCTGTTTTCTCTCCGCATTAGAGATCACAGACAGTCTTGAGTTGCTGTGCACTTCCTATGATTAATAATACAAAAAAATTGTCATGCAATATTTGTGCAAGAAGTCATCATTATGTCATCAATAATATCTTGCCTGATTGGGTATTTCATTGTTGGACATTGGTAGTAATTATTCGGCTTGCATTAATGTGATCTTTTTATACAGTACAGCAACGTTTGATGGTTGTGTGTAAAGTAACAAGTAAAGAAACATATATCTAATGTTTACCAATACTCTAAGATTAGTTAGTGCTCATATCCAAAGGCAGTATGGGTTCAAGGACAAGAGATTGGATTTATAGTGTTTTATCTTGTATTGCATACATTTTGATGCCATACTTTGTTGTATCATGGCAGCTCAGTGCAGGGCCCTCGAGGAGAACTGTATCAATACTGATGAGGCTACCCTGGGTAAAAATAACATATCATTATTATTATTGGAAGAGTCATGTATAGAAACATGTTTTTATCCAGGGGAAATGGGGGTACTTTCGGATTAGGGAATATGTAAGGTATATGTTTTTGTACTTTTTAAAATATTTTCTTGAATTCCATGTTCTGAAATGTAAATTCTTATGTTAGAAATCATGAATTCATGATGAGCGCAAATTCTTGGAATGATGGAAATATTTCTTGTATTTGAAAGGGGATAATGATCTGATCTCCAGTGTAATCCTTCTCCCTTGTTTGAGTGGGTATATTGAGTATAGCTATGTAATTAGTAACTTTGGGGTGTTTTTTTTGTGGGTTTGTGAGGTATGTGAATGTTTTTTTTGGGGGGGGGGGATGGGCTGGAAAATGTGAAAACACATTTGTCATTGAAGTCTTGTTTTTTTAGAAAAGTAGAGCCACCTGTCAAAACTTTATTTAAACCAAAATATGAAAATGTATTTGTTCATGACAATCAGAGTACCAAAGATGTGATCACAAGAATAATTTGTTAATTAGATGACTAAGAAAACTAGTCAAATTAGCTTACGTTGGGGGTGTGTTTTCATTTTTTACCTGTTATGGATTTTTCATGTTACATAATGAAACTCATGTATTATATTTTGTTCAATTAAATGAGCGTTATGAGGTAATTTTTTCACATGTTTTGTAATCAATGTCTGTATAAAGTAAAGAAATAAATGGAGAAATTTGAAGATTATTATGAATGGACCTTTCCACTTTAATACTTGCACTTCGATGGGTCTTATTCTATTCTCCTTTACTTGTGATTTCAATTTATACCTGTATATATACACCCAAGTGACAAGTATAAATATGTTCAACCAATTCTTCTATGTATATTTTGTCCACTATTTGTGAAACTTGTTTAATGATCTGGTTTTAGCCCTCTGTTTTTAAAAAATTGATGTTTGTCTTGGTAAAGATTAGAGAAAGATTTCCTATATACTAGAATGTTCCCACCAAACTGTGACTGAGGGTGTGCCATAACAAAAAATGATACAAGAGTTTTCAAAGTATGCAACCATCATCAATGAGAATCGGTATGTTGTATTGTTAGAGTATCTTCTAAATCAAATTCAAATTTCTTACTAACTTTTTTGGAAAAAAACAAGCAAAACAAGAAATTTATCTTTGTTCTGTAAGACCTTATTTATTCTAAAGTTATAGGAACAATGTTTATCTTGTTTTTTCTTGGATGCAGAAATTCCTATGAATTCCAGGCAATTACTGCAGCAATGTTACCAATGAGGTTTCATCTGTATAAATGTAATATTTTTAAGAGATTTAGCACATTCGATTCTAGTGACATTTTTTTCTGGGACACCCTGTATGTAACCATTACTGAATGTGTTGTACATGTATGTTCCCCATTAGAGTTTGTTCTCCCCTTTGTTTATAGTAGTTTCAGCATTTTATCATAAGTTTAAATTTAAACTAGTACTATATGTGAAACTTTAGGATAAGTAATTTAGAAAATAGAATTCTAGCAACATTTGTCTGCAAATCATTAGGTTGGTATACCCAAGGAGATTAAAAGGTGAGCTTGTGTAAAGCAAATTCAATTTTGTCATTCATGTATAGACACACATCAAATCAGTCCACATAGTCATGCGAAGGGCTTGCATAATTTTGTGGTTTGAATAATTGAACTTTCCTGCTCAGTGTCTCCGAAACATGTTCAATTGGGCAATACCAAATGTGCTTTGGTTATCTTATCTAAACTAAAGATATGAATAATAAAATATATGAAATAATGACAATGTATTTTTTATGCCGATTAAGATTGTGAACAGAGATTAAATACTATATTATTGGGAATGTTATATTCTTTGTTTCTTTAGTTCCAGACCATACTGTATATTGGCAATATGTAAAGTTGTGTGTTTCATAGTGATATTTACAGTCCACAGTGAAATAATGTAATAAAACAAATGAACAGAATGAAAAAATGTGTTAACCATGTTAATCTATGTTGCAGAAGGGTATTATGAGTGATTGACTCAGTGTTTAGAGAGCTCTTCAGGTGCTATGTTGGGCTTTATTTAAGCGTTTTGTAATGGATGACAATCATTTCTTTAAATGTCTCCAAGCATTGAATTTTTATAAAAATTGTCCAATCAAAGTTCACCTTTGCAATTATGAAAAATAAAGTTAGTTATTCAAATCTGTACAGCTACTTTAGTGCAGCTGTTATATGATCCATCTGACCTCAAGGAATGCACGTTGATTGCCGCTGGAATCTTTAGATTGCCACTAAAATGCGGCTCGAATGCAGTTGGAACTTCCCGACCAGGATGCAAGAATGCATCTCGATTGCCGCCGGAATCTTTCGAATATCCAACTGGAATGCACTTTGAATGCCGTCGGAATCTTTAGATGAATTCGGCTTGAATGCAGTTGGAACGTCCCGAACAGGATGTAAGAATGCATCTCGATTGCCGCCGGAATCTATTTTGATATTTTCGGTACTAAAAGAATATCCAACTGGAAAGCACTTCGAATGCCGTCGGAACCTTTAGATTGCCGCTCGAATGCGGCTTGAATGCTGTTGGAATGCTGTTGGAACATGTCAGACTAAACTAATATTCTAGAATAGACAATGGTATGTAATTTCCCCCAGCTTAGCACACGTTCATAATAGAATTGCGTGCTTCCATACATATGTACGATACATCATCATTGCCTTTGTCTTCCTGGTGATGCTACAGCATGTCTGACATAGCAACTCGTATGTTGCTATTGTATTACGTATTGTAACAGGTGGTCGACTTCGGCAAAGACACATACCACTTTCTCAAGTTAGGTCATTGATGACTAACAGGTGATGTCACAAGAAGAATGAGATCTGGAGGTTTTGGGGGTGGAGCTTAGCAAGTTTGAAAAACAAATATTTCAAAAAATATTTAAAAATATATGAAACAAATTCAGAAGTCTACATATCAAAATATGAGATGTATGCAGGACTGCACACCAACAGGAATACACTTGTATTTCGATGTCATGGGCCCTTTAAGGTTTTTTTTTTTTAAATTGGGCCCAAAAAATTGCAACGACTCAGCCGCTGAACAAGCGGGGGGGGGGGGGGGGGGAGGGGGGGGGGGTAAGGTCACCTTTTTAAGGTCAGCCATCAGTATATATATATATATTTTTTTTTTTTAAATTAACAAAAAAAAATAAAAAGGGGCTGGGGTTCCCCCAAAAACATACACATAAAAAAAAACTCAAGGGGGGGGGGGTTTAACCCCCCCCCCCACCTGCGTACGCGCCTGCTACACAATGCTATCACTAATTCTTTGCCCAATAGCTTCCTTGTTGACCAGAACGTCGAAAGAGTACCTAATTATATAAATTAGTGTGTGAGTGTAAATATTTTGTTGTTAAATGGTAATTGATGCTATTATGACAATCTATTCATTGATGCTGAGATCTAGAAGTTAGACAAAAGGCATAGAAAGTCACAATTCTATTTTCAAAGGAATTCCAATTCATTGTAATGGCACTTGACTGTTGGAGATTAATATCAAGTATACAGGTGCACTATTCTTTCATATTTTGAACATTTGAGTACATGGAAAAGAGTTATCAATCATTATGGTAAGCAACATGTCACTGTTCATTTTGGAAACTCATTATAGAATTCTCGCAGGCAAGATTATATTGTCATTTATCAATTACTTTTGAAAACGAAAATAATATCTATTAAGTAATCCCGGAAATTAAAGAATTCAAAACTAAACTTGCTTTAATTGATTTTTGAATTCATCCGGAGTTTGAATCAACCTAATAAGATGTGCAGGGACGTTCATTGAGACCAAGTTTTCATATTATTTGCAAAAACGGTGAGCTAACCGCTTGCCACTTTGGCCAAAAAGTGACGACTTTCTAAAAATTGCCAAAGCGCCCCTCCATTAGACAAACGGGGATTCGATAAATGGGGGTTTGATCAACTTAATTTAATGAAGTGCAGGGACGTTCATTAAGACCAACTAAACAATAATGGAAATGTTCATATTATTTGCAAAAACGCCGAGCTAACCCCTTGCGATTTTGGCCAAAAAGTGATGATTTTCCACATTTACCAAAATTTGCCAAAGCGCCCCTGTAGAAAACAAACGGGAATTTTTGTTCAATCTAATGATGTCCAGGGACGTTCATTTCCCATTATTATAAATGCCCTTTTTTAATCTCTAGTAATTGCTTCTTTTCAGTTTTGAAAAGTGCCCTTTTTAATCTCTAGTAATTGCTTCTTTTCAGTTTTGAAAAGTGCCCCTTTTCACTTTTGATAAGTGCCCCCTTTAATCTCTAGTAATTGCTTCTTTTCTGATCTGAAAGGTGCCCCTTTTATTTCGATAAGTGCTCCTTTTCCATTGTAAAAATGCCCCTTCCCCTTTTAATAACTACCCCCTTTTTAACTCAGATAAGCGGTCGTTGTGTTTTCACATGTGCCCCTTTCCTTTCAAATAAGTGACCCTTTTCCTCATGATTAGTGCCCCCATTTAAAAATAAGAGTCCCTTCCCCTTCTCATAAATGCCCCTTTTCTCCTATGAAAAGTGTCCCTTTTATTTCTCTTAAGTACCCCTTTTCATTTCTGGTAAATAACCCTTTTCGTGTAAGAGAGGGTTACTCTCTTTCACTTTAGATAAGTGCCCCATTCGACTCCGATAAGTGCCCCAACTCAAATATGACGAGTGACCCAATTCAAATCTGATGAGTACCGCTTTTTTATTTTTGTAAGTGTCTCTTTTTATATCTGGTCAGTGCCCTTTTTTAGGTGCGATAAGTGCCCCTTTTCACGTCTGATAATTTACCTTTTAACAATAATACGTGCCCTTTTCCCTTTCTAATAAGGGACCAATCCCTTTTTATAAATGCCCCCTATCAAAATCCGTCGACAAATGCCCATTTCCAATCCTCATAAGTGCCCCTTTTCATCCCTGGTGAGTACCTCTTTTTTAGGTGTAAGAAGTGCCTCGTTTTCACCTCTGACTCGATAATTACCCTGTGTACTTTGGCACATGCTCCTTTTATGTTCTAATGTCTTATCCCTTTCAATAAGTGTCCCCTTTTCCTATCATCATTAAACGTGCCCATAATTTTAAGCGACTAAGAGCAATTTATACTATATATTTGATGATATTATGAAAGGTCTTTTCAGTCTTCCGTTATGAGAAAGTGCTTATAACCCCATCAGGAATGTGCTTTTTCCTCTTAATTAGTTGTAATTTTTCGCACTACGACATAAATCTTGAAAACTTTCTGACCCTCACGCCCAAATACAAAGTATACCGCTTCAAGCAATATCTTGTATGATGTATAAAGAGGAAAAAATTATACCATCCCTGATAATGTCATCACAATGCAGGGGTATATACCAATGTCTAAACAATTCTATATTTTCGCTTTGAGATTTCCATTTGTAGGTGCCCTTTTTCAGAAAGTGCCCCTTTTGTTGCCCCCCAACTTTGGAAGTTGCTCCGCCGCCCTTGTCTTTACTCAGACCCAAAGCAGACACTCCATCCCTGAACCTAAGTTGGAGATTCTCCTACCTGAATCCCCTGACAAACTACAGACTATAAGACACAAACTGGTATTCTTTATGAAGCCAAGGGAAATAAATCTACTTGAAGGACGTCGTGGTGCTATATAAACAGCCACATAATTTATACTGCATTTCTATGGCTTTAGCGGTACTATCAATCTATGATGATGATGATATAATGTCAATGATAATAATAATGACAATACATGTAATAGATCATAATTTTTTTTTAAAAGGTTATCATACTCTCATTTGCAATAGTTATCACTTTTATTTAAAATTATCACATGGTTTATATTTACGGGGTGATGACATGAAACAATGAGAGATACTAGATTTAAATAATTCATCATAAATAAAAGGGATAAAGCAGTTTCTGTGTGTCATCTATCTTTATTCTTTTTTTTCTTTCTCAAATCAAATGCACTTTTAGATATGACTCAACTTGCATCTGTCGATGTTTCTTAGTTTTAACTCTTTATGGATAAGACAGGGTACCTCCCTGGTTGCACGGTAAATTGCATTATTCACTCCAGATGAGTCCTCGGAGGCTCGGATACATATGACTTTCACTAATGCATCAACTTATGAATAATTGTATAAGTATGTATAATATAAACTTATAAAGATTCAAATAATTTACGAATACGTATTATAACAGGTTATTTTCCATCACTGAACGGTTCATTGCCACATCAAAACTAAGTGCACTTTCATATGCCATAATATAAATCCCCCTATAAACTGTCACTTTCAGTAATTTATTGCAACTTTTATGGGGTGAATGCATGTTCCCGTTCTTCAGCGGCTGAGAACGGGAGATTTGAGGAAAACCCAACATAACAGAATGCACACAAAAAAATAAATCATTTTTTGCAGGATACTATTAATCTAGAACAAGAATGTTAAAAGAGAGAGAGATAGAGAGACAGAGAGAGAGAGAGAGAGAGACAGAGAGGATGGGGTGAGAGAAAATAAATTCTGCGGAAGGAATGGATTCTATAACGCTGGAAGAATCGCCACGCCCACGGGAACCCTCTCGACCTCCTCAAGTATGTGCTACTTCATGAAGTTAAGATATTTATCTTTTAAAGCTACTTGTGTGTGTTCATCTTGGTTGCATTATGCACTCTGATGAAGAGATCAGTGTGGGGGTGGCATTACACGCAAAGCACAGTAGTACGCGGTATACCGGTATGCAGTGAATAGTGGAGTGCACAATACAAAGACCGGGCTAGACTTCATTCATGCATTGTAGTTGCGGAGAAGATGAGAGTGAATATTCAGTGTAATTCTATTGACCACCAGTGATGCAGCGCAGCTTTGGTTATCGACAAGAGTAAGAAACTTGGAGAGGAAATGCAGGGAATTTAGAGTGTGGTTCGACTTCCCATTGCTTTCTTTATTCCTCCCATATCATACCGCAATGGATTATAAAAAAGTGAAAGGGTTTGGGGCGCTTTGTATTGCCTTTTTATCGGCGTTCGTGGGTTCCGTTCTTGTGATGGGTCCGATGATGCCGCTGATGATTCTTGCCCCTCAGGTTTACCGGAGAGCAACGGACCTCGTCATTGGGATGTGGCTAGCATTGCCTGTCGTAAGTCATTAAAGTGAAAGTGCTGTGTAACTGAGATGAATAATTGGAAAAGTCGTCGATTCCATGTTGTAGATGTGCTTTTCATAAATGTTAAAAGCAGAAGTAGATCCTGTAAAAAAGAGTTTCAGACAAATACAAACATTTATTTGGAAAAGACAATCGAAAGAATCAATGTGAAATGACAATGACTCAATCAATGATTGGAGTTTAAAGAGCTAAAAAAGGTACAATAGGAAGGGGGCCAGAGGGATTTAAGCTACACACTTCATTTTTGAAAACCTTAAAGTCCTCCAATTGATTTTTTAAAGAAGAAATTGATTTATCCTGCCTCTTGGTCTGGTAGGCCTACTTATACTCCCGGCCCTCCCACTCAGGGTTCGAAATGACCGCATGCGTGTTGCCAAAATGTCCGGTAAAGGGGTACTTTTCGTGCGACAAAGTCCGGCCCGAGAATTGTAAAAAAAGGGGTGTATTTGACTTTTCACCCAGAGATTTCTTTAAAAAGGGGGTGTTTTTTTTTCTTTTTCTCTCTCATCTCTTTGCACTCCTAAGAAATTATTCCGAATTAAGGGGGGTACATTGACCATTTTTCATGATTTAGGGGGGTCTCCAAGGCAGGAAAAGCCTGCGAAAAGCCCACGAAAGGGGGTTTCGGAAATGTTGGTCAGCTCGATCTCTGTCTTTGCCTCCAAACTGACTGAGGCGGACCCCGGTTCAAAACCGAGTCACGCCTTTTGGATGGTGATGTAAAAGGTCAGTCCCCAGATGTAAATAATCATATCTGATTGATGTCTCTAAAACCCCAAGATATACACACAAACATGCTGCACCAACTCATGGTAGTACATAATGTACATTGTACATGGGTGAAAATAGGCATACAAAAATAAATTGGGAAAAATATACCATTGGGTTGATTTTTCATAATTCTTTGCCATCATATTTAATTTTTGATGCTGTACATGGTGACTAATTGTTATATATGTAGATGCAGTGTTGAGTCACTCACTATTATCCAATTCTACAGTTCACTTTTGTGTATATAGTCATGATGGCCATTACAATTCAGTGAGAGTGATGATGTCACAGTAATTATTATGAGTCATATTGCATACATGTGCATGTAGTGTGGAGGTGTGTAGTCCAAGATGAAATCATTGAAATGGTGGAGTGTGTAACGGGCGGATGATAGTAATGTTAAATCAGTTTGTTGCTATCTATAGATATAGATGAAAGATCATTATAAAGGCTTATATTTGTATCAGTGGGAATTTGAAATAAGATAAATTATTGCAGATATCGTACATTTAGTTCTTTCCTTTTTTGAGGGGGGGGGGGGGGGGGGCTATTAATTATCCACCTTTATTATTGTAGTGGATGTGTGCCTGATAATCCTATGATTATTCTCGATGATAAGACATTATTTTCCATGAGTGCAAAGTGACCATTGGATATGAAATAATAATGTGGGTAAGGGAAAGAGTGGGTGGAGTGCTACATGTAGTTATTTTACTTTCAACTATAGATCTACTGACACCTGAAAAGTGAAAACTTATCATCTTGAAGATTTCGTTCTGGTGAGCAAGTTGATCACAAATTTATTTGTTTTAAATGAATGTCGCTTGTCTTCAGAAACCCAATTTTGAAATTGCATGATCTGGGGGGTGTTTCATAAAGCTGTTCGTAAAGTTACGCATGACTTTACGAACGACTTGTATATGAAGTGCCAGATAGGATGCCCAAATTTTTTTCTGATATTTTCAATAACCTCAATAAAGTTATGGCAAAAAATATACTCTGCATTAAAAATGTTTGTTATCATAAGAATGTTAAAATACATCTGCACAGTTTAACTTTAGTTGATGTATTTAATAATGATTGAGCATCCCATTTGGCTTTTCATATACAAGTCATTCGTAAAGTCATGCGTAACTTTACGAACAGCTTTATGAAACACCCCCCTGTACATAGTACATGTATGCTTAAAGAAAACCTATTACTCCAAAGGATTAGTATTTTTTTTTACACAACTTAACACAACCCCTATGTAAGGAGTGAACCACCCAACTATTGTGTAAAGCCGTTACACAACGAATTTGCAGTGTACAAAGGATAATAGCACGTGAATGAATTGCTTCATCAGCACACAATAGGTCTGGGAAGGAAGCATCCATAAATTTGAATACCTTTACTTGATAAACGACTTCTCATAGTACGTCACGTTAAACAAAAAATACTAATGCTCATGTCGTGCTGAGAAACTGTTCTTGCTTAATATGCCTCTCTCATACACTTAGGTGGAGGATCTTGGGCAAGAATACAATAAATCTCTCAGAATAACAATTTATTTCTTGCGGTTGGGTTACCTTTTAGTACTGGAACAAAGCCCCCCCCCCCCCCCCCTCCCACACACATACACAGACACACAAAAAGGCCTACATGTACAGTGTAGTAACCACAGTGTAATATTTTGGGGGTAAATTTCACACAAGGGGTCTGTTTGTTCTGGAGATTTTCCTGGAAATTGTGCATGAATATTATTAATAGGCAGGCATTGCATGGTGATATACATGTTCTTACAATCTGCTGGTAGCTGTTTCTTTATTATTTACTGATTGGATTAATTAATAATGATGACCTTTGAGTCCTGCATCTGTAAGTAGAGTAGAGCATGTTTTTACATTTTTCCTTATCAGCATTACATACATGTATAGAATGTACAGTACATGTATATACAAACAGTATTTCATAAACATGAAGTATACTCACATGAAACGAGACAAACCATTCACAACAGTCAATACAAGTAACATATTACATGTACATGTAGTTGGTAACTTGGTCAAATCCTAAAAGTCACACACCAATGAGACCTAGATGCCAAACTGACATCAAACCGAACAAGGGTTTATATTACATCAAATGGATCGATCGGGGTAATATTATATTTGTAAAGCGCTCAGAGACATTTGTAATAAGCGCTAAAAATTAAACATTATTATTATTATTATTATTGGGGATCGATCGGTTGTTGGTCGGTTTAGAGTTGATTCGGCGGTGTGACTGAGGAGTAAAGGATGCATTAGGGATGTAAGTGTTCAAACCAAAAACATTGATTTTACATAGTTTCATCTTTAATTACCGGTATGTAATAGTACTGTAGGTACATGTACTTGAACAGTTTTTAACCAACAAATCATATAGGCGACAGGTCAGTGAACATTTAAGAAGAAATCAAACATATTCCTTTATTTGTATCATGTTTGATATATGGGAGAGGTGAACTCATGCTAGAGTGAGTTAAATAGAATATAATTTTATATGAACACTGGATGTAGTCTGCAAGCACAGAATCTAATTTGTTATATTGTTTGTTTATTTTTATTTCCGTATAAAATCATCACAACGTACAAATACATACATAAAAGAAATATATGGCGGTCAGCCCATTTCAGGCGTACTAACAAAATATGCCTGTTCTTCCATTGGGGTGTGAAAAAAGCCATTACATCGAATATTTTATACAATCATAGGGAAATTAGTATTAAAAGTAAATTCAATATAAACATTTCAATAAACAAAACATGAACGATATAAAGATATATTGATCTTATTTCTGACGAGTAAGGTTTTTATTTTCAATTTGTGTTATTACTATTTTTTTCCCCTCTGTATTCTCTTTCATGCTCTTCATGTTACGCTCCAAATGATTAATCAATCAGTCTTTGCTGGGTAAGTTGAACTTATTTATGACACATGGACACTTTTAGAATAAGTTGTTCATTTCAATAGTTTCAATTGTAAAAGATCTTTTCCAGATAGCAGTTTTCTTGAAATGGAATTCTGAAAGGAACATCGAAAATGTAAAATTTGTTAAAATTTGTTCATTCTGTTCAGCTTTTGTGTGAATTAAACACAACACATATTTTACATTTGGATCCGTTCAAGTAAAAACATAAATTCAAAAGTATGGTCACATGTTTTTTCTTCTTCTCTCTATCTATCGTACTTTATCTTCGAACATTTAAGTTAATGTTCAAAATGAAATTAAATGTCAGTACTTTTTGCAATTGAATTATTAAAATCAATGCACCACTTCATCACATTTCTAGTTGAATTATTTCATTATTTTGATCACGCATCTTTTTGTTATTGTTATTTCATAATTAATCATAATTTATTATTTTGATCATGTATCTGATTGATATTCTTTGTCATCGCTCATCAGTAATTCTCTCTACCGCAAATACCATGTTCAACAGTAGCTGGTGACCTTCCTCCCGCACTGCGCAGGTCAGCACTTGCGCAGATACAATACTGGGGAAGACGATAATACAACGTTTCCTCTGGCTACCATAAGGAGGCACCATCATAATCTGCTACCTATTCTTTATTGGTTCAGAAACTATAATTTCTTTCGGACTTTCCAGTTCTTGACATGAAGTACCTTTTCTAAATATACCCATGGCCGGTGCTGCCCTCTATGGCCAAATACTGTAGTTGCGGTAGCGAGAATTGATACAATGTATTTCCCTTTCTTATTTTATGCAGAGACATTTTTTGGGACACAATTTAAAGCGATTGGTGACAAGCTAAAGCCAAATGAACGAAGTGTGATCATCATGAACCATCGAACCAGACTAGATTGGCTCTTCTTCATTGCTTGTTTGCTGAGACACACCCGAGCATCCAATCTTAAAATCGTCCTCAAATCTCAGCTCAGGTCAGCTCCTTGTATTGGTAGGTCAAAGGTTGAAATGTTAAATCTCTTATTTGCTCCGATCTTGATTTTTTTAAAACCTTTAGATGCATTTGTAGATTAGATATCAATAAAATATGCAACTAAAGAACCCTGTAGATATCCAGAAATTCCTTATGTTTTGTCTCATGTATTACATATGGTTCTAAGTGACCATTGACCGATTGACCGAGTTCTAGCATAGCAATTAAGATGCTGCTCTTCAAGTTAGTGTGAAATTACGTCATATATATTTCATGTTATTTTTTTTTTTATTGTGCAGGATGGGCCATGCAGCAGGCATGCTTTGTCTTTTTAGCTCGTCAGTGGGCCAAGGACTGTGTTTGGTTGACCTGTGTTCTCAAGTACTTCTCAGAGATGCGCTATGACTTTCAGCTTCTCCTCTTTCCAGAAGGTTAGCATTTCCTTACTTTCCTCATTTTACGCACCCCTCCAAATTAGGGGTCAACAGGGGTCAACTGTATTTGGTTGACCTCTGTTCTCAAGTACTTCTGAGAGATGCGATATGACTTTCAGCTCCTCCTCTTTTCAGAAGGTTAGTATTTCCTTACTTTCACACTTCTTGTGTTATTTTTTTTAACTCTGGCTGAATCCAATGTTTGACTGATTTAATCTAGTGTATTATTCAGTGTTTGAGTTCTGCCTTGACCCATCATGCATGGACGTACAGAGGAATTTTTCTTCAGAAGTTACCAGGCAATCACCCATAATTTGTAACTACCGTATTTAAATATACTTGTACTTGCTTGTTTTTTTTACTTTGTAAAGCGCATAGAGAAACTTTAGTTTATTATGCGCTAAATAAATATATCTTTATTATTATTATTATAAACACAAAGAAAAACAGAATTAAAAAAATTAGAAAAGTAAAAACTTGACCATGAAGCCCACATTTGCTGTCTTATTTCACATGTTAAAGTCAACAATTAATATTGAATTTTACCCTATATTCATTGGATTTTTTTTTTATAGCTAATTTGTAAAGTCATCAATTTGTCCAAGGTACATGTAAATGCACCACTTAATCTATGTCATAGAAATTGAATTGTGTATAATCATGTTAATTTGAAAACAATGAAAATATAATTTGTGCTATGTCCCTTTAAAAAGTATTCATAAACTATTTTTATTGAATTATCTGTGTTATGCTTAATAAAGATATACTTGAAAAATGCTGGTACATTTAATTGTCGGTGTACTAAACTAGATTTATGCATTCACATGTAGGTCGCAGATGTGTGTCTGGAAATTCAGTACAATTTACTGAATTTTAAAAGAAGAATAATAGACGTTTGTACATTTGGCGGTTTATAAGTCAATATCTTTTATTGTGGATGATTGATAGGTAACTTCAAAATGATAACTAGAACATGATTGGCACTTTTGGCAGATTGGGACTATGTATAACTAATTGAAGACACATTCTTATAATTTCCCTTTGTATCAATTTTCATGTATTACTACAATACGTACACAAGAAGGTCAAACAACTCCAAACTAGAAAACATTAATCAGATAGGTGTACTGTCATTGTGATATTTGTCGGCTTCATACCAAGCAGTGTCACAAGCCATATCGTTTAGCTGTTAATGTTATCTCTCGGTTGTCGCCCCCTTGCATGATAAGAGGCAAGTTTAAGGGGTGGGAGTGATGATGCTGTGGCCCCGGCCTTCTGATAATTAGAATTCTCACTCTCTCTCTCTTTCTCTCTCTCTCTTTCTCCCTCCCCGTCCCTCCCCCTCCCTCCCCTCTCTCTCTTTATGTTGCATTCCTGTAATACAAAAGAACTTCATACTGTCCAGCTGGACTTAGAAATACTAGTTACCTTTAATAGAAAGAATGGTGCCATTTCACTAACATGTAGTTTTTCATGCATTAATTTGATCAAAAGTTTGATCGCACTAATGCTTCTAATGGCTAGAATTCAGTTTTCACAAACAATGTTAATTTGTTTTAAGGGGAACATGTATTATATTTAGTACTGATGGTTTATTGGATTACTCATACATGTATATACAAACTAGTAGACAATCTTAGTTTTCAGTTGTTGATATTTAGGTGCAAAAATATGCTGTCAGCGAAAAACAAAAAATCAATCAGGTTAATAGGGTAAACAAGGAGACAGTAATGAAATATGTCTGTTAAAGGTACTACCCTTTTGCAGGCCAAAAAAATGAAAAGGTTGAATTCCAATGGCATTTGAAAGATAATACTAATTTAGACTCCCCTTAAAAAAATGGGGCTTGAAAATGTCTTTAAGTGGGGAAATAACAACTATTAGTTGTCAAATCCACTTAGGAGCTATAGAGCCAATAAGTAACAGTCTTGATTTTCAGACCATTGTACCGCATGGTCGTACGTTTTATGCTGCGCAAAGATTCAATCAGTTTAATTTTGGCCATTACAAGAAGTAGTTTATTGATGGAGACAAATCCTTTACAGCTCAATTTATGTATGTTATTACCAAAGAAGAAAAAAAGGCAGTCAGTCACTCAATACTGACAATAGTATCTGACAGTGAAGTCTAGCAAGTGAACAGGTTTCCTTGCATAATTTGAATATAAGGACACTGCTAATGTTTAAATCTCACAGATAGGACATACATGACATATTCATAATTCCTGCAAAGTTCTACAGAATTTGGGGTTGGCTGCAAAAGGGACATACATGTAGTATCTTTAAATGATATTTTTTCCTCATTTAAAAAAAATCTTAAATGCTCTGATTTATATATCAACTTTGTTGATTTTATAGACAGTCATGACACACAAAGTGATTTGTTTGTTATACACTACACGTGCTGAAATCTTGAAGATCTTGTTTCAATGACTGGCCTGGACACTGAAATTGACTTTGATTATCTTTCTTTTGTCATAAGTGGCCTAGCTATCTGCGGGAGGTAGCTCTTACATGTGTTTGTTCTTGAGATCAATTTTAGATTTAATATGCCTTTCAAGTAGTAGTATCATTGCAGAGCATGGCATCTCAATGAATGTAATAGGGCAATTCCACGGTAACGGAAGGACACTCAGACAAGATTTTTGAACTTCAGGTTCATACTAAAAGAAATGTTTTATTAGTATGTATTAAACTATGGGGAACAAAATGTGTTTCAGTCAAGTGGAAAGCTTCATCAACTTCACAAAGTTTGGATAAACACTAATTAACTGGAAAAACCATGTCCATTTTTATGTCCTTCCGTTACCGAGATAATTAATATGCACATTCTTAAACTACTTAACTATAATGACAATTTTTTGGGGGAGAATTAAAGGCACTTATATAGGTATTATATCTGTACTGTTTCACATCTTATACTAATAAAACAGTTCTTTTAGTATGAACCTGAAGTTCAAAAATCTTGTCTGAGTGTCCTTCCGTTACCGTGGAATTGCCCAATAAGTGAATAATTTTCCATTTTCAAGGGCATTAAAAAAATAAAGATGAGTTTTTGTCATGCAATTACCAGTATATTGTGAAATATACTGATAGCAAGCAATTGGGGAAAGCTTGATTATTGTCCGGTAGTACATTAGAATTGATCAAATAATGTGAAATAAAAAAAAAATTATATCATATTTTTATGATGAGGGCATTTAAACTGACAAAAATCAGAGAATGAAAAAACTCACAAATTATTTGACGCCTTTTACCACATCTTAACCTTTTTATCACAGTAAATGAACAGTATTTTGTACCAATATTTGTAATATATGTCATGTTTTCTGAAAATCCCTTGATAAACATTTCCACACTCCCTCCATTATGTGCACCAACTACATGTACCGAGTAATATATCACTTATCACAAATACTCATAACTCCTCGAGATTCTTATGGGAAGACGCGTTTGTGCATACGGTACTAGGCTCCTTATCCTTGACAGCAAGTAGGCCATTCACTGAACAGTACATGTTAATTTGTACAAACAGAATTTAATTAACATGCATAACATGTTCATGTACACATGTAGCTTGATGTTATGTTATGACATGATGAGAGATGAGGAATTATCTCTGTACAATGGTTTCCATAGCAACTACTTGCAGTATAGCGATGTTCAACTCGTTTCATAATTGCTTTATTACTTTGATGTGGAATATTGCTCCCAGGGATGAAAGCAATGAGGGGAAATTAATTTGCATTGCGCTAATTAAAGCATGTACGTACATGCAAGTTCTAAGAAATCAATTGTCTCATAATGCTCTTTGTCACGATATATACGAAAGAAAAAGACTACAAGTATGGTTTCCTTCTAACATTTGTAGTGTTCCAGAGCTTTTTGAGCAATCCAGAACCATGCACAACCATGCACAACTCTTGATTCTCGTAATGGTATTTTCTAATGCATCAGGTCAATTCATCATAATCGCAAATGTACTGTCAATTACACTAGAATCTGAATATGAAATGAGTATCTTCATCAAATCCCAATTTAACAGTTGACTAATGTATGAGTATAAGTGTTGCAGTATACATATCAGATTTTCACTTGCTATACTTGTACAATGAACACGTACTGTATGGTAGATGTACTGGGTGTTTGTTATTCACAAGTGAGAATTCTAATAATAAAACTAATCTACATGTATCCATTGCAGGACTAAGTATGTGTAATCTGACATATAGTGGATGTTTACCTTGGTAATTACAATTGGAAGTTACCATTTAATCTTATAGACAACATGTACTTCTTGCCTCCATGTACACAGGTTTCATGTGTGTATACAATACAGTGTCTTTATATTTATTTATCTTTATGCATTGATGTGCTACCATATATTTCATATATTTACGCAAACATTACATCAGAATTGAGCAGTAATATGTAATTTAAAAAAAGAATTATATTGAAATGCATTATCTTTATCTGACTGAGCTTAGATTCAATTTCATTCCAGAAGGTGCTTAATGAGGTTTAGTAGGAAGTGAAAACGCCTGGTCTTATAAAGTATAATAAATCATTTCCTTTTGGCTAAAAAAACATAACAGAGATTGTTTCCTTATCACAACCTTTTTAATCACTGTTTTGAAAATGAGTATGTGATTAAACTCCTATTTTGGCGGTGGTTGTCTAATGTACATTACAGTGTAGAGTGTACCTATGAATCCAGATAATACATACAGACACTGCACTAAAATCTTGTATGTTTTCATCTACCGGTAGTCCAGAATTTAGTCAATTGTATTTGAACAATCTCTACATACACGTGGAGATCATATTTCCAATTATGCAATCTCTTCCTCCCTGCTAAAGGCAAAAGACGGCACATTCATGAATTCTTTGAAAAGCCATCTTTGACTTGTGTGTGTGGGGGGGGGGGGGGGGAGGGGGGGAGGTTGCATAATTTTATCGGCCTGATTCTGGACTAGGACTAGATTTATCCTAATCTTTTTCTCATGGTTATGGATATAGAATGCCTATGTTGGTGTCCTTTAAAATTAAAGTTAGATTGAGAGATAAAAAGGGAAAGAACACTCGTAAACTAATGTTTTGGGATGTATTCATTAACAAGGTTCAAGCTTGAATTAGTTTTAGTTAGTGAAGTGGGCCCTGATTGTGTCAAGTTTGTATCCTTTTTATCATAAGCTTCTGCAGTATACACGTATGACAGCAGTGTAGACTTTGTACCTAAAAGTTTGACTTTGCGTTTAGCATATCAGAAAGAGTGACTACAATTTCAATTATTCTGCATGTGATGAAATTTCCTGTCAGCAGCCATTCTCCAATTAAATGAGAGCCAATGGTGGGTTTTGGGTACCTTATTATTGTATTGGCATGTCATGTACAACTTTTAAATAGTTTGGCAAAGCAAACACTGAACCTGTGCACCCTGTGGTTTTTTATGTTTGTTGTAGGGTAGAACAGAACCTTCTAACCCTGTTGGTGGTCCTTATACGTGCCTAGTGACTTTGAGTTTAACATTGGCGTGAAGAAGTTCAAGGGTCCTTTTCCTTTCAATAATTATACCAATATAAATTGATCCAACACCATTGGAAGGTGGTAGCTATTTTTATTCTGTGATTCAAGGCTGCCCATTGAGTGGATTCCTGTGTGGGAAAATCTTTTTTTTTGCATTTAAACTCATAATTTTTCTGGTCCAGATGTTTTGCCTTCAAACTTTTAGTATCTCCAGAAGATACAAGAAAGGTTACATGAAAACTGACACAAGAATTTTCAGAATACCACACCATTTAAGTTTAGTGGACAGTCTCTTTCAACTTGTGTCAAATACAGATAAATATGACTACCTAATGCGTATGATATGTAGTTTTGAAAAATTAATTGTCTGAGGTCTTTTAGTCTGAAAGAAATAACTGTTCATATAATTATACATGGCAGGAGAGGATCCAGAAAATTCCAAATAGGGGGGGGGGGGGATGAAATGTACAAAATTACGAATGCGAAGCCTGTGCAGCGTGGGGTTCGGATAATTTTGCACCTTATAATGCTGTGGTAGCATTCTGAGACATTTCTGAATGCATAAACTGAATTTAGGTGAATATTTCTTGGCTTTATTCCTGCAATTTTTTTCTGGAAGGAATAAAGGGGGGCATGCACCCCCACGGATCCGCCCCTGCATGGGCATTATTAGGAGCTTCAGTAGGTGGCAGCAAACATGAAATCTTATGAGGAGAATTGATAGCACACTCTGTTCTTGTACATCGATGCAGTTGTTGCTTATGCCTTGGTCACAAATACCCTTACGGGCTGTTACGAACGCCGTACGAACGATTTTCAGACCATTTCGTAAGATCTTCTTAAGAAGGCCGTACGAAACCAGCGTTCGTAGACCGTTCGTAGACCGTTCGTAAGATCACAAATTGGTCGATGGTCTGGTCCAAGATTTTTTTTAGCATCGTACGAAACCCTCTCTTCGTAAGGCGGCCGTAATGACGCCGTAATTACATCGTAAGAACCACGCAAGATCTTCGTACATTTTGTAGGGTCGAGGGAAAATTCTAGAAGCTTCAAATTGTTACGATGAACGTAAGAACGCCTCAAGTTGTTCATAGAGGGCTCTTATGGCGTTCGTAAGAACTCCTTACGAGCGGAGATTCTTATGGTTTTCGTACGAACGACTCCTGGCGTTCGTAAGGTGCTCGTAAGGTGTACGTACACAATTTATGCTAATTTTGATTTTTAGCGGTTATAAAGCCAAGCGCGTGAAGTTCAAATCCTCACTATGTTCATAATCATAGAGCCCCGCCCCCCGGCCAACCAAAAAAAGTGGTGGGGGGGGATTAAGGAATTAAATTTCTTAAACATTCCGCATGCAACCTTTATTTATCAATGGAGGTTCTTATAATAGCGATACGGGCATATCGTCGAATTATTGTGAGAGGATGGGAAAGCATTTGTGTTTTTTGGTATTGGGGTGAGAAGACATGAGCCCCTGAACGCTGGCGTACTGATTTTATTGTTATTTCTTATTCGATACCATGCAGTGATTTACAAATGTTACTGAAAAGATATGATTTCCGGTATTTTTTCTCAAATTTTTTGTAAGTCATACCTTTTGATGCGTTTGTTGGAAAACTAGAAATTCCCAAATTTACAGTCGGGCGAAAAATATGCTTATTTAAAGCCTTCATGTCAGGGCCTGCAGAACAGCTGGGCTCGGGGGCTCGAGCCCCCTCACTTTTTGAAAAAGTATGTTACAGAGAAAAAGAAAGAAAGAGAGAAAAAATAAGTGACCTGCCAATGTCACAAATAAGGTATCAAAATATGCTGATCTGACCGTAATTAAATGCCTAATTAAAACCCAAGAGCTTACAGGGGCTCCGCCCTCGGACCCCACTAAGGGCCCCAAGGCGGTCCCCTGGATGCTCATCTGACCGTAGTTAAATATCTAAAAACCTCTGAGCTTCCGGGGGCTCAGCCCCTCGACCCCACGCGAATTTACGTGTAAGAGTGGTGGTGATGCAGATTTTTCTTCTGCTCCCCCTTCCAAACGTTTTTGCTCATTACGCCATTGCCCCTGGAAGGTGAGCCCCTGAAATGTTTGCCACCCCCCCCCCCCCCCCCCACCCCCAATCCTAAACTGCTTCTGGTGCGCCTGTTCATAGTGTCGTCGAGGGTGCCCCCCTGTCGAAGAAATATGGGACCAAAGGGGAAATCCGTTAGAGGAAAGAGAGGAAAGGGAAACAAACGTAATGAAAGAGATGAGGAGGAAGGAGAAAGAGGAGGAGAGCAGCAACAATAATATCAAGCAATAATATCAAGCCATCGAAAGCGACCGGGAGGAGGCGATGGAAGATGAAGACGATGACGACGAGGAGGGAGAACCATCAAGACGGCAGTTTGATAGCGATGAAGATGAGGCAACGGGGAAACTAAGAAAGGAGAAGTATGACTTTGATGCCACCACAGAGCAAAAACTTGTTGACTTCCTCGGTGAACATGGCTGCTTTTATAATAAAGGAAGTAACAGATATGCTAACAGTAAACAATTATATTCGGGAAACAATTATTTTCGGGAACTGGCAGGTAAAACAAAGAACCTTTTTTGGAAAGAAATGTTCATGGCTTACAGTACGCTCTTGTGATAACATTTCTTGCCAACCCTTATGGAATAATGATTACATTAAAATAGGTAATAGCTCAATATATAATATAAAATTGTGTCAAAAGGGAGTTCGCTTTGTCAATGATATTTTAGAGACAAATGGTGATTTTTTTTTCTCTCTGAAACATTTCCAAGAAAAGTATATTATTCAAATAAATTTTCTTTTTTATCGTGGATTATGCGATGCAATTAGACAAGGGTTTAACAATTGTACTATTTTTTAACATGGTGCCACAACCTCTTTTCCCAGATACAATGACATTTGTTATGAAATGTATTAAAAGATGTTTACATATCTATGCAACTTTTTTAAAGAGAAGAAAAGGACTATGTAAACGTGTATTTCGACCTGAATGATAAGAGTTGGGAAACATATTGTTCTATTGGATTTAATTTTACCATTGATGTGGGCTTACGATGGGTTCAGTTTGAAGTTCTGCAACGCTTATTATATACGAACGATCTACTGTTTAAAATGAATTTAGTCCCAAAAAAAGAATGTACGTTTTGTAATGAACAGATTGAAACAGTTATACATCTGCTATGTGATTGTACTAAACCAATTGTATTAATGTTATAAATGTAAATTACCTTGAATATATATTTGTTAATTTGTTTCAAATGAAAATCAATAAAATCCCTGTGGAGGGAAAAATATGGAGAACAAAAAACAGTAAGTTCAAGAATCACTTGATAGAGTTGCAGTTGCAGTTGTAGTCTTCTTGGCAATACTGCCATCGTGAAATATCAAACTTTCAACACTCAAATTTTCGACCGTATACAGCAGCGCTTTTTTTGCAACCCGACCAAATATTTAAAAAAATCGTAAGATCTTCTTACGAATGACTTGTGAATGCCGTGAGTTACACGTACGACCACCTTGCGAGATCAAAACTCGTAAGATGGCCGTACGTCTGACGTAAGAAGAACTCAAGGCGTTCTTACGAAAAACGTACGAACTCTAGGGCCATTGTATAACCGAAAATCACTTCGTTTCTCAAGAAGGCCTTAAGTTCTTCTTGCGAATTAAACGGCGTTAGTACGAACTCCGTAAGAAGGACGTAAGAAACTATGTACCGTCTACGAATCTCTACGAATTCTGAAATTCGTAAAAACGAATCGTTCGTACGAACATTTGTGACCGTAGCATTATCTTTGCGGAATCGTTTGCTATATTGTAATCACAGATAAGATTTTGAAATGTTCCTATTGTTCTGTTAATGCAAGAGTTGAATGTCCCTTCATATGCAATTTTCTAGAAGAGAAAGAAACAAAATTAAATAGATTTTAGGCAATACATATTTTGAAATGAAAGTGAATACAATTTTGTTGTTGACTTCTATATTCTATAAATATTGTAAACTATCTCTGAGTCCTTTATGAGTGAAACAAATTTCCATGAATGTAATTTATGCTTACGTTACAAATTCTGGTTTGCTAAAAAAAAAAACTTAAAAAAAAACTGTCATGTTAAAATATGTGCTTATAAAAAACTGTATATTTCTTTTCATCCTGCTATTCAGGTATTAACTTTTGTAGGACAGGAAAGGAGATCAGCAATGCATATGCCCAGAAACATGACCTGCCAATTTATAAACATGTTCTCCACCCCCACACCACTGGATTTGCTTTCACTGTGGACTATCTTAGGCAGAGTAAGTACCCAATCACCCCCCCCCCCCCCACCCTTCACCCACCCTTCCTCCATCCTTCACCCCTTTCAGTTCAGATTTCATTGAATTCTTAAAGCTTTTTAAAATTAGATATGATTATACATGTCAGCATGTACATGTAAGTATCAAATCAGCCTTTCCACTTATTCGGTAGGCTAGTTCAAGCCCCTCTAAAGTGTCGGGAGCCCCAAATTCTCGGAAAAATTGACTTTAAATTGTATCATAATGTGAAAGAGGATGTCCTTTTAAGACGCACTTATGCAGAGATTTTACCTTCCAAAAATGTGTTGGAAGACAAATATTGACAAAAAAATATGTAAATTGGGTTTTCTGTTGTATGCAGAAAATCTAAACTTTGTATTCTTTACTATTTGTTTAAAAAATCCTTGCAGAAATGTATCTTAAATGACATCCTCTTTCACATTATGACACAGTTTAAGTGAAATTTTGCCATCAAATTTGTAGGGCTCCCAACACTTTAAGAGGGGCTTTAAGTTCTATGATAGATGGTTTCAGTAATACTGAGAGACATGTTACATTATTTTTCCCTTTAATTATGTTTATCAAAGCTTACTTCATGTACTGTAGTTCACATTCTTTACAGATATATGTAAATCATTTACTGAAAAATTAAGCTATGCCTGGGCTGTAGCCTTTCTGTATAATCACACCTATACTCATTTCTGTAAGTACTATCCATAATAATAATAATAATAATAATAATAATAATAGCCCAATAGTCCACTCCAAATTTTATTAAACCGAAACGGAAATTCTTTTTGCCCAATTGATCGTGAGCACGGCAGCCACTGAGCAGCGCCAGATCGACGTTGCTCTATCCCTTATTGTTGAACGCCAAACAAGTTGACATGGAAAGATATATATCACCACTTGTTAAAAGTGATGGTACATGAACTAATACAGACCTACATGTTAAATCACGCTTGTAAGAAAATGAATCTGAAATAAGAAGAGCAAGTAAATAAAACCGAAACGGAAATTCTTTTTGCCCAATTGATCATGAGCACGGCAGCCACTGAGCAGCGCCAGATCGACGTTGCTCTATCCCTTATTGTTGACGCCAAACAAGTTGACATGGAAAGATATATATCACCACTTGTTAAAAGTGATGGTACATGAACTAATACAGACCTACATGTTAAATCACGCTTGTAAGAAAATGAACCTGAAATAAGAAGAGCAAGTAAATAAAACAGTAGTATGATATTTAACTTAATTCATATAAAGATATCAAACTTTTGGGGGGTACATTTGGTTCTTAAATTGTAAATGAAGGACTATGGGTCAAAACAACAGCACATTATTCTTAGTCCATCAACTTGTTTTTAGCACTGATTATCTGGATGTTTTTGGTTGTTATTTACTGCTCAGTATCACATTATCATTATCTTCCTTTATCTAGCCAAGATGATAGATACTGTGTATGATGTGACGGTGGGTTACTGTGATGTTGTTCCTGAGAAGGGCGAGATGGACATCTTCAGAGGCAACATCCCTCAAGAGGTACAGTTCTTGATCCATAAGTACCCCATCAGTGCTCTCCCACAGAACAAGGAAGACTTGGATAACTGGTGTGTGGAGAAGTGGAAGGAGAAGGAGCATTGTTTGGAGAAGTTCTACACCGGCACCAAGACCTTCGAGGGCCAGGAAGATGGGAAACTGGAGAATCTTTCTGGCCAGGCTGTCTACAAAGTCATCTTTATACTTGCATTCTGGATATCCGGTGTACTCATCTCTGCTTGGCTCATGCTCACATCCCCCTTCGTGCTGTGGGGCTCTGTAGTGGTAATGGCAGCATATGTAATTATTGGAAAGTACTTTGGTGGAGTCGATTATATTTCCATTGCAAGCTTTAACTTCACGCAAGATCTGACACATAAAGCAAGGACCACTTGATATCAAAGTCATTCTACAGTAAATGCCAATATGTTTATCATCGCTCTGCATCATACAACTTTGGGTAGTTGTCAGAAACAGTACTTTTTCAGGAGAGGGTGGGTAGTAAATAATATAATACAACATGATCATTCATCAATTTAAAAACTATACATTTTAGAACAATTTGGGGACAAATTTGAGATGGAGCCGGACCAAATGGCAACAAATATTTGCTCTTTATGAACAACTTTTTGAGATAAAAACAATAATATTCTGCTTCTATATAGCGCTTAATACATCAACAATGTCTCTAAGTGCTTTAGAGGTATATCATTCCAGTCATCGGATTCAGTCTTGCCCGCACACAATGTATGCACATTCTCAACTCCCTGGGGTGTATTCCAGCCAGGCATTTCACAGACGAAACAAAACAAAACAATAGAATAAACAGATTTATATTGTGAAGAGTAGAGGCAGCCTTTATGTACAAACAAATATTTATTTGCCAATTGTTATATGTAAAATCAGACACTGGTATCCTAATACCTCAGCCTTTTGTATGGTGAACAGTAAATGTATAAATTGTATAGGTCAACAATATTTTGATTCAAAATTGGTGTATAAAAATGTGACCTGCCTCTCTGATAAACTGGTACTATATTGTCTTTTGTACTAATATGCTGCTGCATTTGCAGATCATTTGTTTCCTTGATTTTATACAAAAAAATCTATTGTTCAATTTTTTTTTTTAATTTCCTATTTTTTTTTGCTGCTTTCATTTGTGAAGATTCGGAAATAAGAAAAGTGAAGGATTTTCTCCCCGATTATTTAAATAATATTTATTGAAGTTAACTAATTCTCTAGTTGTTTGCTTTTATGATAGACAATCATATGCTGTATGTTTATAGTGTCAAAATATTGTTATTTGTAATTGTTAATGTTATTTATCCGAGGAAGTACATTTGTACATGTATTTGCTCTATGAAGTAGTTTAGTTTGTGAATCATGCAGTAACATGTGTGATGGATCACTAAACCTGGTCATGAGCAGTCCGCATCTCAATATGATGGAGTTTCAAACATTTGTGGTCAAATTCAGACTGTTGAGCATGGTCTGAATGGATATTCTGTACCAGGACCCCATGTCCCGTCGCTCATATTGACAATTCACAACCGGTGTCATATTTAAATAATTGTCAGTTTTAAATAGCTATACCGGTAGGTAGTTAATATATGAAATAATGATAGTTTCAAACTTTGATTGAATATGTTCAGAAAATCACACTTAAACAAGAGATAAAACATTGAGAACATTTTCATAGGAGAAAATTGATATGAAAAGTTTAAACTAGTCAAGCTCGCACATTGAAAACAGAGCAAGCATACATTGAAGTGTGCGTACCATGTTGAAAATTCACACACTCTTGATCTTCGAGTCATAAGTAGCCTACAAGTTTCATACTGAATGAAAAAACAAAATCTTTCATTTATTTCTAGTCTGATTTTACCCTGAAAATTAGCCACATGAATAAGTGGATATTACACCCGATGAAATTCATATTTTATATCTCCAAACATCATTTTTTAGTGCCATCTGTACCAATGAGGCTAACTTTACGTTTGTCGTTGTTGTTTGTGGATATGTTTCAAAGTGTGTTTTTGTATCTTAAATTGATCATAATATTTAACATGGAGATATGTATATATATATGTCAATGTTGGAATGAATTGTGTCACATGGTGAAGTGGAGAAAGGTGATATTATTTCAGAAATTTGACAAAGCTGAATGAAAAGTAAATGAAGAACAACTATTTGTTATGAGGTTGTGATGATACTTGATTATGCAGTTGATATTTTGAAATAAGAATCTGATTATTCACATTGTACAAATTAATTGTGATATACATGTAAGATCTTAGATGAGTAATATTTATGATCTTAGTTTAGTAAGATTTATGATGACATTACATGTCTGATTTACAAATTCACTGTGTACTTATTGATGTCTTGGCTGTCTTGTGTATATTTTTTATTAATGTGAACTATTTCAGATGTTATCTGACAATCGTTCTTTACAAAGATGTCATGTACGTTGCCACTTCTTAACCAGGATTAACAATGTGAAATGCTTGCCTTACATGCAGACTAGCATGCATGTCGTACTAAGATTGATAGAAATGCACTATGTGTTCAACTATAGGCTTTAGATAGTTATATATGCACTTCATTCATTCCATTATTTATTGTGATAAAGTGAACTATGTTACAATATTCATTTAATTCAGGACTAAAACTGTACAATCAAATTCCTTATGTAGTGGTTAATGTCAGTAACAAATCATGATATTTTAATCAGATCATGCAAGTAGTGCTGCAATGAAATCAATTAATTTTGAAAGAAACATTTTCTTAGATTTTCTCCACATCATAAAATGTTGTTTGTAGGTATTGTTTTTTGTCTACATTTTAATTTAATTGAACTTTTCCCTATAAACTGAATCTGATATCTTTTTCACAAAATGATCGTGCCATTGGCTTGCATATACAAATGCAAGCCATTAAACTTGCTGCCACATGGAAATTGCCATGGTGTGTTTTGGGACAAAATCTATTAAATTATGATGGGTAGAAAAAAGCGGGTAATAATTCTAGTTTGATCATACTCTAATGATTATTGGGGTATTTTTCTATTCTTTAGCCAAGAGGTGCTATTGATTACAAATATATATATTTGGCTGTTTGGTTGTGCATGAAAATGTGCAAGCTAGAGGATAAAGCATGTTTTTTTATGTTTCAATATAAGAAAGTTACTGCATTTAAAATGCTTTAGGAAGATATCATATGAGCGGTCATGGCTGAAAAGTATAAATTTATAATGGTTTAAAGGAATGTTATCATTATTCTCCATGTTTGAATTCAATTCTGGCTCTAAAACCACATGCATGTGGTAGTGCCCTCTGTAACAAAATGTGTTTATTATTTGTTTTTAGATCATTTGGTTTTGTTTTCTGGATAAATTATTACATTTTCCCCCGTCACATTGCATAGATATTTATATGAAATCTTTACAACAATTCATCACAGGGTAGATTGAAGAAAAAAAAATATTACAAATTTTGATAATAAGTTCCATGCATGAATAGTTTTATGTGTCTGACTCAATTTAAACCACACATCATGAACTCATCCTATAATTATGCCCTACTTTTGTTTGTATCAATATTGAAGTGTTTTTATCATTTTCTTACACTGAAAGAAAGGTACATGTATTATCATTATATGACACAACCTCATTCAGTAGATAAACTTTTAATTGTTACAATGTCACCATGTCTTGCTGAGATATAAATAAATGACATATTAGTTACAGGGACAGTAATAGAATTGATCCAGTTTGATTTAAAGTAATACTTGACTACGATTATAACACTGGACTGGGAACATGTCACCAACTAGTAAATGAAACATTTTGAAGCCATCTATATAACTTTATGAAATAAATTGGCAAAGATGATGAGTTTATAGTATATATAGAGAAAAAAAAACTCATCAAACATGAAATATGTTTGAGCATTTTATTTACAGCACAGTCAATAATTGCTTTTGTCATGATATATTCTATATTGCTTAAGATTACTTTCAACTTGTTTTTTTATTAATTATATGCTTCATGAGAGATTTATCCATTTTGTACAACGTATTACCTCATTATAATCTGTACTTTTATGCCAGAACAAAGGAGCTGAATTTAGCTCCATATTTGCTCATTATTTGTTTGGTAGGATTATTGTAAAAATTCTTTGTAAGGTCTCAGAGCTTGCCTTTACAAGAAGTGTGTTAGTGTAACATAAAGAAGGGGAGGGTAAGAAAAAGAAAGTGAATGGAAAAGGGCACTTCATAGCCATATTTGCATTTTATTTTACCTACTACTATTTCAACAATAAAAATCCATAATTGTAGGTTACTACTTTACCCCCATTCATTGAAAAAGCAGTCATCCTTGAATATTTGTGATTCTTTGCTATTTGCCATTATATTCAAATGATTTTTTAATTTTTTTTTTAAAGTATACTATTTTATAATTTCCAGTAAATGTGTTATATTCAGTATTATACATGTATCATTGGCTGATGAAAATAAAATGTCAAAGTGGTTATATGTATGACTGCACTTCATGATGACTTACACCATGTCTGATTTACTATGAATGTCGCATTCGCAGTCAGAAAATATTAATAAATACATGAAAAATCATACGCTTGCTGGTTCTTTTTTTGTAGTTGAAAAATATTTGTGTCGTAAGATGTGATAAAAAGTAGAATTGATCCTAGTCTCCACATGTAAATAAAACGTAGAAATAAACTGTCAAAAACTAAAACAAAGGCACAACTTGATGGTTTTGTCTTTCTCTTTGATATGTTTTCTCTTCTTTTCTGTTGGTTGAAAGATGATGTGAAAAATGTATACACAAGAAAACACGTTTGATAAAAGGACCTTTCTCTCTCCTCCACACCCCTTCTCTCCCGAACCCCCGAGCTCGCTCTCTCTTTTTCTCGGCACAGTAAAGCCCTGTCTACTAGTCTCACGATAACACTATGAAGGGCGCCATCTATTCCATCCGTTCCCTATTAATATTATTTGTCTGCGGTACGATTGTATAGCAGACAAATGTTGTTTGTATCGTTAATGAATGCATACTTATGTTGGTTCGGGGCTGTGCCCCGATGGAATGTAATTTGCATAGGCAGCTCGTACAGGTGGGCGAGCTAATTCTGCCACGGAGACCAGGCCGTGGCATGAATAAGTGGCATTCTAGCTTGAACTTTCAACGAGACAATTTTTATTTACAATAAAAGTGCGTTGTGTCATGTAGTGTTACATGACTGTGTTTGAATAAGGTTTTCCAGAGTTTTTATGCTCGTTGAGTTTTATCTCTGGTTTTCTATCCGGGACCATGATAGGTCCGGTTTACAGTGAAGGAAACGAGAAGAAATGTTTGTTAAACATTCATACTGAATAAACGGCCGGCTCTAGTCGTCAGGCTATTCTATTCGTTGTCAGGCTATTCCACAATAATTGAAGTGTATTATTGTGTTATTTGTGTGTATTGGGAGTCAAGAGGGATAACAGATGAAATAATATGTGAGATTATAGGACAGACTTGATATTATTAATCTCTAAAACAATATATATCACAAATTCAAGTCGGTCATCACTACGGAATTTACATGTTTTATGTTGCTGCTGATACTTAGTGAAATCCATGTGGGTCAGAGCGACAGTCTTCAATTTGATTAGCATAAAAATAATGTTGTGAAAGGTTATGTCATTATGCAGCTCTTACCGGGTCCATATTTGAGGTTTTCTTTCTTAAAGAAATTATGCATAATTATAGAGAGAAGGGGTAATAGAGAAACCGAGATGGAGAGAGAGAGGGGGGGGGGGGGGGGGGGAGAGTGAAAATACGCAAAAGGAGTTCTGATCCTAAAAGAAAACTGATCTGCGCATATTACTTAAAACCAGGCCCCCAAGCTTTGCCATTTTGTCCGGATCCATTGCTTTCCGTCTAGTAATTATATTTAAACGTCTTTGCTTAAAACCATGGTTTCTCTTTATACATCTGTAAACTTCCATGAAAGTATTCAAATGTTTTCCTCGTCACTACGGAATTTACATTTGTTATGTTGCTGCTGATACTTAGTGAAATCCATGTAGGTCAGAGCGACAGTCTTCATTTTGATTAGCATACTAAATGTTGTGAAAGGTTATGTCATTATGCAGCTCTTACCGGGTCCATATTTGTGGTTTTCTTTCTTAAAGAAATTATGCATATAGAGAGAAGGGGTAATAGAGAAACCGAGAAGGAGAGAGAGAGAGAGAGAGAGAGAGGGGGGGGGGGGGGGGAGGAGAGTGAACATACGCAAAAAGGAGTTCTGATCCTAAAAGAAAACTGATCTGCGCATATTACTTAAAACCAGGCCCCCCCCCCCCCCAAGCTCCGCCATTTTGTCCGGATCCATTGCTTTCCGTCTAGTAATTATATTTAAACGTCTTTGCTTAAAACCATGGTTTCTCTTTATACATCTGTAAACTTCCATGAAAGTATTCAAATGTTTTCCTCGTAATTCATGTATGTATTATCATGCACTCGTAAATCACGAACGGAGGTGCTTGTTTGATGGGATTAATATTCATTTGAAAAACAGCGTTCATGAAAAAAAAAATTAATACTGGAATCAAGGAAGGTAAAGGGAAGAAGGAAAATGTGTAAAATGATAATGGGGAAGGAAAGTGAAACAATTCGGCGGGGATGGGGGATCCGATGGTGTACTATATAATAGCTCATTATATTTCAGAAAACACGGGTATGTTCATAGCCAGAGACATCCCTGTACTGTAGCCGGAGGTTGTGACGAGGCCAATCAAATTAATGATAGGGTTTCCTTCCTGTCATGCATAACAAAAAATAGTGCATTAGTGCGCAAATATCTATGTCACCGCGATGCCATTGTTCCTATAATTGATTTATTTCTAAAAATGAAGACTAAAAAAACGGCATGCTTAATAATTTACCAAAAGTCATAATTAGTGCACCACTCTTGAAAGTCAAACTCTCCTCGATCAGACAATGCCGTTTTAATCGAAATTTACTGGAAAGACCATTATCTAGTAGTCAGTTTCTATTGACTACTAGATAGATAGATATATAGTCAGTTTCTATTGACTACCATTATCTAGTACAGTCAGTTTCTGACCTACAACATGTAATCATATATATTTGTCCTATACTGTCCTGTACATTCATAGATGCTTTCAAAATGATTATGCCCTCGTTGTGCTTATTCGTGAGTTTCCTCTTTCTTATTCCAAATCATGCATCAAGCCAATATTTACATGTACTTGTTTATTTTGCGGAGCAGCGTCTGCGGCTTTTTTTAGATTGTGAGGGCGCTGGATGGAGATTCTGTTACGTTGTCACCTGACACACTATGACCAATCAGAACAGAGATGACGTAACGGGGATTCCCCCTATTATTACAGCGTAGTCTTCTTATACACGGTGCCACGCTGCAAACGGTTCGGATCTTCTTAGGGCGCGTTCATGCTTGATTTTGAAGGCAGAATGAGCGATTTGTAACGCTCATCGTAAACGCTCATCGTAATCGCAGTTCCACGGTGCACTGTTCATGCTCACTTCTCCAGGCAATTCTCCTTGGGTGGCCTTCAGCTGGATTCGCAAACCTGTGTGCGCATGCTACGTAGACCCACTAGAGGTCAGTGCGTTGACCCCATTTAAACGCGTTTACAAATTGTAAACGCATCTTTTTGTGAGTTTACGATCGGCGATCGTGATCGCCGTTTTTCGGTGATTCTACAAAAGTGAGCATGAACGCAATCGTGTTTAAACTAAACGCGTAACAGATGCCTGATTCTGGCCGTCAAAATCAAGCATGAACGCGCCCTTAGTATATGGCGATTCTATCTTTTACTAGTCCGATCCATTTTGATAAGGGCCCCCTTTTCCATTCATCATTATACGTGCCCCTAATTTAAAGGGACTAAGAGCAATGATTTATGTTGTGTCACTTATCAAAAGTCTTTTTAGTCTTCCGTTATAAGAATGGCTCATAAAAATAATAATAATAACGTTACTTATAAAGCGCTTACCACCGAAGTCTCTAAGCGCTATAACACACAAAATAGACTGATAAAAAATTACATATTAAACAAAACAAAAAAGGGAAAATATTAAAACCTACAAATTACAATACATATGGAATACACATTAAAATGAACAGAGTTAATTAATCATCGAAAGCAATTTTGAATAAAACGTTTGTGCTAGTTTTGAATAGGTTAACAGTTTGACACTTAACCTTGATCAGAATCGGTTTTTTTCCTCTTTATTAATGTTTACATTTTCCTTGATTGCTTTGCTCGCTTGCAAATAAATATTTATTTCATCACACCCAACTGTAATATCTTGTATGATGTACATGTATAAAGAGAATCGAATATTGAAATCATCCCTGATAATATTATCACAAAGTACCAATGTCTATTTTGGGGGGAATATCTTTGCTTTGAGATTTCTCTTTGTATGTGCCCTTTTTTTCCTCCAAGAAAGTGCCCTTTTTCATAGGTGCTCCCCCCCCCCCCCCACTTTCGAAGTCACTCAGCCACCCCGGCATATAGCATTTTCTCTTTCGTACTTCTTCTCCTTATTCTTTCACCCCTTTTCCCTGATTATAGAACGAGTGAACTCTATATAGGATTATGTACAACAGAAAATGATAGTAATCGATGTTAGATCCAGGGAACACAAACCCCATATCCGGCAATCCGGCCTCTGATTGGTGCCCGGCTCCCAGCCTTTCCACTCGCCCCCTCCCCCACCCTGCCCCCTGCCCCCCCCCCCCCCCCCCCCCCTGCCCCCTGCTCCCCCCACCCCCTCACCTCAATTTAAGCCCCAGAAACGTCAAATGTGATAATTTTTGAGCTAAGGATACTTTTATAATATGCGAGAAAACTGAGAGAAACTAAGTAGTACATGGAAGTTTTTTTTTCTCTTGTATAAATCGGAAAAGGTACGCATGATTTTTTTAATGTTTTTTTTTCTTTAGACGACTAAGACTAGACATCGGGAGCTCATGACACACGCCCTTAAAACTAAAACAACAACAACAACGGAGACACTCGACTCGAGCTGTACTGCATGTCGTACTCTGTTGATGCGTACGGATATTTTATGTGTACATGTTCCGTATGTGCCGTACGTACTATAACTAGACTATATGCGTAATATGTATTTCGCAATTCCTGTTAATGAGATTTTTCGTCCATTTGCTTGAAGTGAAACTTCGGGATTTCTCCCAACCTTTCATCCCTGAATTGCGCAACACCAGACAAGATGACAGAACGAGGTATGTGTTACGATGAGTAATATCGTTGATGTTGCGAAAGTGTGTGAATAGTTGAGAGAGTGCTCAAATGAAAGTCCTTTATAATTATACCGCTGGCCCTGGCAATTGACTGTGCAGCTGTGGCCTGATCTGATATTGATAAACAGCGCTAGCCTGGCCTGGGTTGTTTTCACAAACAAAACTGTATGTAGGCCTAGTGCAGTACAGTTAATCGTAGTAGACTCTAGGCCTAGTTTTTCTTACCAATATTAAAACAATAATTTAGCAAGGAAATATCCTGGCTAAACTGAGGACTTGTTTGTTGACATTGCTTTGTACATTTTATTGTACCAACTGACTGAACATATTTTTTACCAACTGTGAAGGAGGCCGAGGTAGACTTAACCCAAAGAAGAAAAGAAGACTGCACAAGATCAAGAGCACCTTGCCAGACATTGCCATCTTTATATATGTTATATCCTGATACACAGTTCGAAGTCCTGTGTAGGTCAATTTGATTCGAATCAGAATGTCAATTACTCACACTGTCAGCTATAATATTTTGAGTGATTAGGCAGAACAAAAATGTGTGATATATTCAAAGCTGCATAAGTAATATTAAAAACTGAATAAGTAGATCAAGAATCTATATAGATCCCAGATCTAAATGTTTAAAAAGAGATTACATGTACGCTGAGAACAAGTTTTTGAACCACAACAACATGCAGTACATGAGTCGATCGAGTGTATCATTGTGGAGCACAGGCATTACAATTTGGTGACTTTTTAACATCTGAGCTACATAGGCCTGATTTTCTACTTGTGGCTTAGTGAGTGAGGAGAAATAATTAAAGAACTCCTTTTTCCTAAGATTATTCACCATGCCTGTGAAAAGGGCAAGTCGTAAACGCAGGATTATTAAGACGGAGCCTGAAGAAATTGTAAATGGGCACAGGAGTGATGATACAGAAGGTAAGTGTTCTTTTTGGTTTGCAGTACAGTAATCAACAACTCTTGTAAAACTTGTTAAGAGTAGCAGATATTGCCCCAAACTATGACCTGCAAATATGTATTCTCAGGCAGAGTTGTTACATGGCGAAAAAAATAAGTGCGATACTCTGAAACAGATTTAAATAACCTGATGATTTTTGTAAAAAACAAGAAAAATTTGGTCGAGATATATCATATCTCATATTTATGAGCATAATCTTTTTGGATCAAAATATTTTTCATTTTCTTATAATTCATCTTTGTTCTTCATTGTCTGTAGACGCGGACTTGGATGCTCTTGCAATGATAGAGATGGACGCAGCAATGGAGGATGTACTGCAGTCCTTTAAATCAAGTGAGTGAAACAGAATTTCCAAGTACCTTTAATCATAATACCGCTTTACATCCACTAGTTTTGGTTTTAGTGCATAATGTTAGGCAATGGATGGGGGGGGGGGGGGGGGTTGTTTGATTTGAAAAAATTGCCGCTTCCTGACTTTATCTCTGCTCGCAAGTGCTGGTTGATTAAATACAAGAGAACAGATATTTTCAAATTTGGAGGTCGTCCTATGTTTGGATATCCTCCCCCGGATTCTTCTACTGTTTGGTTGCAAAGAGCAGAATTTTGAATGGCCAGCCTATTCCATAACTGGGGCATGGGGCAATATGTAGGGTTTGAATAGTGGAAATGGAAAAGAGAAAGGAAAGAGGGGGGGGGGGGGAGGAAGAGGAGACTGGCATGTAAATAAGTATATTCATGTACACATATATTTGTGGGGAGGGGGGGGGGCTTTTTTCTAAAAAATGCTTTGATTCTCCTTGACCTAAAAGATCAATACCCCCTCCCAGACTTACTATGCTGGGTGTCATTTTGTTATAATTTTCCCACTTAAAATATTTACATTTTCCTGGGTTGGAGGTGACCCCCCCCCCCCCCCCCCCCCAGCCTCAGCCACTTGTCAATCACTTTGAAAAATTCAATGCACTATTTACATTTAAAAATGCTCAAGCTATTCAGGGTTATAGATCTCTCAGATCTTCCCTGCACTCTTGCTTCTAAAGTCCAAGAACATGCATTTTAAAACCCCTTCCATTCAACGGGTATTCCAATGACAGGTCTGTCTGTTTGAATTGTACATATGACTGTTATAAATGTACATGTAAATGTACTTTTCCTGAGAAAATTCTTTCAACATGTTCCCTTGTCCCTTGACATCAATTTATGCATGTTAACAGAAAATCAGAATTCCTATTTTGAAACATTTGTTTTCATGGTAAAGAAAAGAAAGGTAAGTGAGACAAAAATTTGGTGGATGCTTTTTACGTTTCTAGGTTGTTGTTGAATTGGTCTCTTGTATATTCTGGCAACACATCCATTAGACCAAGACTTATCTTGAGACTTGTGAATAGAAGAACTTCTGTTTTCATTTCTCATTCACTTGTCTAGAAAAAGAAAGAACAAAATTCAATCTGAATATTATAAAATGTACAGTATTATAGCTTGTATTTATTTCGGATTGATGAAAGTATTTTCATCAGGAAGGAGAAATTCCAGAAAACAGATCACTTTTTATGGCAATTAACCCAATTTTCTTTCTACCTATATCTCGTATTCAATTTTTGTTGTTTTTGGATTTGTAAAAAATGCTACAAACACTTGCATAGTATAAGGCATGACGCACGGAACCCAATTCTAACTTTGGTTCTATGCAAAGGGTTTTATGTTATTCTTTATTTTCTTCATAGTCTTTATCTGTTAGCCCATACAAAGCTAGGTTAATTTTTATGAGGTTGATTTCATACCTTCTAGCTGCATAAAAAATAATTTGTGAAGGATATTTGTACACTTTAAAAGTGGGATATAAATGGGTCACCTTTTTCTCTTCCTCAATGAGATCAAACATATTTGGTTGAAATATAAAATCTTAGGGCACCGATGGAAGGAATGTTGTGTTACAGGATAACTGGAACAAATGTGCAATCAGGGCTGTCAAATTTTTGAATTCACTTCAGCTATCATGCAATATAGTTCATAGGATATATATATGCACATAATTATGTCTCATATGTTTCATCCATGTTTGATAAATTTGTGCATTACAATGTAAATGTACAATCATAAAAACATTATTATTGCATTGTTCTACAAAGTTTAGAGCTCTTTGTATTAGTTATTATAAACAGATGTTATTTAATGGAGTAATTATAGGAAGACACGCTTCTCTATTTTTCACATAACATTTGATTAAGTCATTTCCATTAGCAACTTAATGAACTTAGCAATCTGAATGGCTTCGTTTTATTTCAAGGAATTCAAATCTGCATGGTTCTATATATATATATATAACTTGCAATGCGGAACTGCTCAGTATGAGAGTGTTGATAAGTTAAATTGTAAGGTGAGACTTGCAAGGAGGCTCTTATATACAAAGTCTGATCCCTACGACCCCAGTATCCCGCAACTAAACAATAGCACTAGCACTATGAAGCGTGTTTTTTTGTAGAACTACAATACATGTAGGCAGTACATGTATTGGAGGAGACATTGTATGTAGTATGTAGGCGGTTGTGTATGAGTATGTCTGGAGTGGAAACGTATCATGTGATAATGATGAAATACTTCCTTATCCTGCACTTGACACGATTTGTATAAAATCTTTAATGTTACTGTGAAACAAATTGATCAGAAATTGATAAATTATATATTTGTATACATGTACACATACTACATGTACGTGTAGGTCTACATTACGTCTCATGAACCAATTTCAACAGCATGAAATGAAACTAAGTGACTGCAATCGCAACCAATATTTGATTGATCTTTGGGCCATATCCCTTGTCTTGTATGTTTTAGGTTCAGGGATTTGTTAGTCTGCTGAGAGACTAAGGGCACTAACTCTTATCACATTGAGTTAATACTTGACTTTCAAAAAGATAACATTGCCTTCAGATTTCTGGGTGCAAAGGGCAAGGCTGGAGATCGTGAAACCAGCCACACATTGTCATTGAATGTACACGTAGTAGTTGGAACATGAATACCAAGCTTAGGGGCGTTGCTCATACGTAGTGTGCTGTAAACGGCCGAATATGTCGTGCATGCGCATAATGCCCTGGTTGAGAATTTTAACCCTCATGCAAACAATGGTTCCTCACACGACTACGTGTAGAGGTTCATGTGTACATGTCATGTATGATATTGATTATAATCCTGGGCATGCGGAAATGAAAATGATGATATGTAGGGATCAAGTATATACCGTAAGATGTACATGTACAGGTACATGTAGTCTAGAAAACACAATAGTTTCATGTATTACTTGAATCTCCCTGCTTGAATATGCAGCATATAAGATTTTGCCTACATATAGTTCTAAATGTGTTTGGAAAATGTGATACTCTGTTCATTTGACAGAGAACTGTACAACCCCTTTCAAACTTAGCCTTAGCCCTGCCTTTCTGTAATCTGAATCCAGATACAGTTGTAATAACTGATATGTTTACAAGATGTGAAAGACTCGTCTTGCTTGTGCATATTCTAAAGGGTGTCTTTAATTCTGATTAAAGTCAAACTGGTTTCATAGGAACCTTAAGTAAGGAGGTTCTGTTGTTTTGGACAAGCATTTTTTTTGAATAGTTTTGAAATCTTTCTAATAAAGAATAAATAAAAGGTAATAATGATTTAGTTTTTCACTCCTGCCATGACCAGATGTTATATATCTCTTTGGTAATAAGCCAGTATGTACATGTACATTTAATTCATTTCTAGTTTCTATCATTGTGTGAAAGTTTCCTAAGAATTTGATAGCACTCTACATTACCCAATATACATGTAGACAACTACACATCAAATTTGAATTCATTCTGATGGCATTTTGATTTGTACATTTGTATATACAATATGAACTTATGAAGTTCACCAAGGAATATAAATGGGAACCACAAGTGCTGTTCAATTAAAATCCATGTCATGTCGTCATTAACACATCAGTATAAAAGCATTACAAAAAATGTATGCTTGTCTGAGGGTGAATTGTCCAATGAATTATTAAAAGAGCTCCAGTACTTTGAACGCCCACATATTCTATTCAATTGGTTGTGATCTGTGGTGTGTGAAATACGATGATTATTACTTTGCAAAGGCATGCTTGATTACTGATTAGATGTAAACAAAAAATAGCCAGTCAGAAATGTATCCACGCCCTTCCCCCACTGTGCTCTCATTTTCATTAGCCAGTTTAATAGTGCCTTTGTGTTTGTGCGCTTAATAAAAAATATAGCTTCCAGGGACCTTAGCAACAGGCAGTGTTTTGGATACTACAAGTACATCATTCCAGGTTTTCAAGCCAAGCGGCCTGCTCCAACATTGCAATGATGAGCATTGACAGAAATATGAAGCTTTGATGTCAATGAATTCATCTACATAATGGTTGATCTGCTTCATTGTTTGCATTGTACCAACTCAGTATTGAAAATGTGCATATACTGTATACACTGACAAAGACATAATTTGAATCGTTAATCATTATGATGTATTTTTCCCCACCTCTTTTCTTTTTCAAGAGACTGGAAATTGCAAAGAAAATTATTTGGTGACACTAAAAATAAATATCAAGTGCATTCTAAGGGATGAGAAGGAAATAGAAACTACTTCAGTATATATTATATATTTTTATGTGAATCAAACTTAACCCATTTATTCCTTTGGGTTTGTAAACCAGCCCTGGCAATAACCATCAGAGCCTGGGTTTTATTTAACCTATCCGATGCACCGATCAGTTCATACAGCTCTGTAGATTTTGCATTCACTTTGCACATACCTAAAACTTGGCTTCTGCTGGTTAGAAAGATGGCTAGAGTTTTATTTTTTTCTTTCTGCTAGTGAGAGCAGAATGAGCAGGTGAAATTGTATGCGGCCGTTCATTCTTGCGTAAAAGATTTTACTATTCATTCATCGGAGACTATCTATCAGGAGTCATGTTTCTGAAAGTCCATTTTGCTTTCAAAATAGTGAATTTCTCCTAGTGTTTTTCTTCCCATTTGTTCTCATGTGTTCGCATTATTGTGTGTATGCAAGAAACTAATGAAAGATAGAAAGAGATAATTGTTAAAGAATAAAAACAAAGGATAACATAAATAAAAATAAGAGAGAAGATGATAAAATGGTAAAAATAAAAAATGACAAGAGGAAAGACAGAAAGATAAGATCATAACAGGAAAAACAAAGAATAACATAAGGAAAGTCAGGAAGAGAAGATGATAAAGAATAGCATATGGAGAGATAGCAAGAAAACAGAGGATAACGTAAGGAAAGGTAGAAACAGAAGAGGATAAGATAAAACTAAGGAAAACACA